ACAGAAGCCTTAGCTATAAGGTAAGAATAGGCTACCCGACTGGACATTAGTTGGCTGGATAGTTGCGCAAGCGTCTCTTTCTTCGTAACTACTTGAATAAACAAATGGTTTGAACGAATACAATAAAACTACAATAATCGAAAAATAACTGCAACAATTGTAACTATGCTAACCGGAAATGCGTCTTTAGTGGTTTCCGATAGGCTAAAAGGCTTCAGACGGTGCTTTCTACCTCTCACATTTTAAAAGGAGAGGCTCATATCGCTACAATAATCTAGCCAAGCTATAGTCTACTAGTAAATTCTTCATTTTTGAACGTAGTGTAAATTAATTTTAGCAGGAATTTCTTTATTTTTATAATTTACAGGGATTCATTAATCAATATGTTACCGTTTCGTGTAACTTATCGGTTCCGTACAATTTTTCATACTCGTGAAGGACAAGGTCCAACTTCACGAAGTGTTTTGACCTTTACCGAAGTCAGACATCTAATCCTAGTGCGATTAGCCAAAAACTGTGCAGTTCAACGTTTACCTTAATGAGAAAATACAAGTTTTCGAATATATACCAAAGAGAGCTTAAAGTATCCTCTATAAAGTTCACTTCTACGCCATGGGAATAGGACTCCTTCGTATAGTTGTCTAATTGCAAGCCAAAGACTCTTAGCAACAAGCAGACCGCTTACAACTGTAACGTTTAATTTCACGGAGCCGCTCATTTGCCGTGGAGCGATCAGCTTCTAGGAACATAATGCCTTTATTTATGTCGAACCGATTAATATCGCTATCAGATGATTTGTACTTATTAAGACCATTCCTGCCACGGCTCTCTACCACGGCTTTATTTGCCAATCGGACGTCAAGCTACGCGTCGGAAAACGTGTTCAATCAGCACAGCATTCGATAAATGTTTTGCCCTTTTTTCATTTAATCACATTAACGTTTTGTTATTGCGCCTATTGAAGCAGCTCGCTTTGTTCAAATCACCCGACTTCAGTAGCCATAGGGTAACAGCTGCAGTGATTGCATCTTGACAAAGCCAACTGGGACGCCTATGTTGAGTGCGTTTCGCACTTGAATCACCTATTAATTTTAGGTTCCTCATTTGTTTTTGATCGGCATAAATAAAAATCATCTGCAAGTGCTACTACGATCAGCAAACATTGCCCTGCTATTGAACTCGTACATATCCATAGGTACGCCGTAATTATATAAAGGAATTTAACTTTACAATGTTTGTATGATTCATTAGTTCACTAATCTCTTCGTTTAAAGCACGACACGTATAGACAATGATGGCTGTACATCATGCACCCAATTAAAATCAGAAATAACCTCAATTGATTTAGTTTTGCCAGCTCAATACAACAACTGTCAAATGAAATTTGACAGTGTATATGGCTGTATCCAGTGAAGAAAGTCTCGATATTATTTTCGAATCAAAGGAATGGGCTGGGGGTCAGAATGGCATTATATCAAAACCGTTCGGTCTCTGTAAATAGCGAACGTAGGGTTCTCAATTCGAATATTTCGAATTAAATTTCTAAATAATGCCTGCTGTGATTGCTTTTAATTGAATCGGATAGGGCATACATTTGCCGCAGTCGAATGTGCATTGGGAAAATGAGGCTATATGGTCATCTTGATTTAATTTACCTACCAAATTTTGATTGGAAATTTTAACGAATTTTTAGATGCACATAAATCAAAAGTTTGGGGCAGTTCACATTTTGAATTTTTCAAAAAGCAGGGTTATATGGAACAGCATAATGTTCCTTTGCATCAAACCTTTGTCGAACATTAAAAATATAAGGTAGCGAGTCTATACTTCTTCTTCAATTGAAAGAATAAGTGACTTTAGAACACAATGACTCGTAGAAGGGCGTACATGCGTATTGATACCTAGCGAATTTACACCAGATGTAATTATTACCAATGACGTATCCAACGCGGTTTTTCTTGAAATAAATTGACGATTTTATCTGTATGACGCGTCGTTCGGGCAAGCAACATTCGAGACCTATGCGTGACATTGTGGATGATCACGATTGTGGGACAGAACTTACCAGAAATAGGGGTCTGTAGTAGAAGAATTGGGCATAACCGCGACAGCTATACAAACTAGAGAGCAGTTGGGCTGGTTAGGAAATTGTGCGCACGTTGTTACTATGCTTCCTCACTTCCTTACTGACGAGGCACAACTCATAGATGTGTTCGTATCTGGGCCCTTCAATTACACTGCACAAAAATGTAAATTAATAAGATCATGATAAAAATTTATGAAAGACGAATTAGAATTCTTGGCTTGCTTGGTAGTAGGTGATTATAAAGTTTCGGCCTGGTTGGCCGCGGGAAACATTTTCCTTGTATTTTTGTTGAGTTATTAACTTACCTGTATCGCATCATTGGTGTACCATATGTGGCCCCCTTAATTTTCATGTCTCACATATAATGAGATAATAATATAGTGGCAAAAAATTATGCGATTACGCACGAAATTACTTAACGCTGAAGTTTCGCTCATTCTTCTAACGACAGCGCTAGGCAAATTTGATCCTATACGGCTACATAATTCCTCATATCATCATGAAGTCGAAGCGAAAAATCAATTTAAAAAAGAATTGATTTTCCGCTTCGACTTCGATTGAGCCGAATTGAGCAACGTTGAGTTTTACGGTTTCTAAAGCTAATTTAACTATTTTTTCCAGGAAGTGTTATTAGATTGTACACAGTCGCCCGTAAGGGCGATGATCGGCATTGTAGACCCTGTTTTTTGCTACTTAATCACTCATTCTGTATCAGAAAAAAATACTTTATTCCATGTTAATTTCGATACTATATCGTCCTTGGTTCTCATTTTTAACGTGGTTACAAATTAATCGTAAAATGATTATATAAAAAAAAGCATAATTGTTTGAATCAACTATTCGGGTAAGTATTTGAAAATATTCTATTTTTCCCAATAGTTAAGTGGAGTATGAAATATTAAAACAGTGGAATTGCCTATAGAGAGTACAATCTTAGTGCTTCTTAGATGAAAAGCAGAATCTGCAGGATGCCACATCAAAATATTTCTATATTTCGTCTTTAGAATCGGATCTAAATATAAGCAGATATTTCGACAAGCTTTTTCTATGCCCTAGAAGTGGTCAACATAGCCACAATCCCAAGCCAAAAGGATACTACTAATTATTTCGAAAATATGCTTTCTTTAATCCGCAAATAATTTTTTAACAATAATCATATGTAAAGTTGTACTGGTAGACGAAAATACGCTACGTCCGGAAAAATCGAGCAGAACTAAATTTTAGGCTGAATTAAAAAGAAAAACTCAAAGTAGCCAAAAAACTGAAAAATCTTAAATACACATTGGAACTTATCTGGACTATTAGTGACATTTTTCTCTATAAAACGGTAATCAAAAACGATTTTTTGAGCTACTTTGAGCGCTTTAAATCTGAATTCCATTGAGCATGTTTCGGATTGCCTCGTCAGGGTCGTTCTCCAACTTTTCAACACTGCCACAATTATACATCGCTGATATTGTACAGAAAAGGAAGCTTTTCATTTTAATGGAGGTTCGGGCAGTGCGGAAAGATTTAATAAGAAGTTCTGAAACAGCGCCCTGTTGTACCTCATGACGAGTTTATTGCTTTATTTAACAAAAAAGTGGGGCTTTCCTCTAGTACGGTGTAGTGGATGAAAGCGCGCCTGCCAAAGTTTTTCCCAGTTTGATGTATTACCTCGTACGTATTAAGACGCTTCTAACTATTGGATGAACCTGTTCGTTTCGTCAACCCTATCCCTTAAACCATATCATAACTTAAATTTTATTTTAACGCGATAAGTAGTAGATTTCGAAAAATTTAAGATTACTAGGATCACTTCGGGGTACCTCACGTGAGTTTTCCCACTAGCCGTTTTGTAGGCCCCTCTTATGAGGCATATTTGTATAATCCACAGTGGAATGGCTTCAGTTTCTTTTATCATGAGACTAAGCATGAGGCAATTATACGATACAGAGCCAAATGTTTTTAGCTTTGTTTCTCCATGTATGAGGAAGCAGCAGTCACTTGAATAACGACAGCGTTTTTGTACACTTTGTAATAAATACTAATGCGGGAAATCTCTAGCTTTTCAAGCTTGCTTACTCCTTTAGTTACGACCGTGCAACGAAACTGTGATACATCGAAATGCTGGTTAGTTATTATAATACGTTGGTCAAAACAAGCAAGTAGAATCTTCCAAATAAAACACTCAAATTTAATGAATTACCGTTTATTTACAGCTGGTACCCCTATTAAAAATACTATCGTATTATAGCGATATTCTCGATTTAGTTAGAATTTCGCGGTTACGCTCCACGATACTCACTCACGCCTTTTCCCAACAGGGATCAAGTATTACATGAATGAGAAGGCTTACCACACTCGGAAGTTGTAAGACAGCTCAAATTCTTCCGTTGAGATAACTAGACGAAGTACCGAATGTTTTTGTCTCGAAGGCACGCTTTAACATTCAGTAAAGGTCTATGACCCCCTGTGTACAAAAAAAAGCGGATTTTTTTTTTTTTTTTTTTATCTAAGAAGACTTTGGAAGTAAAGAATTAGGACGGGAACAGTTCCATAGTCCCGCTCCACTAAACTTTAGGGTTCACTAAAAGTCAGTATAACACACGATTTACATCAAAACGATAATCACATCACTGTAAGGTCAGATAGGCGAACGGGCTTCTCAAAAATTGACATGTTTTTTTTTCTTCTGAAATTTAAAATGTACTTATATCTAGTAATAGAGAAATGAACAGAAGCACGTTCGCCTATACTGGCCGGACTACATTTCTCAATATCCGTCCGGCGGCTTTAAGCCTACGCTACGTTTTTGGACCAGATCAGTATAATAATTGTTAAGCAAGCTCTTAAAGTGTACAAGCTTAGACACCACTTTAGTAGATAGTTGAACATTAATAGAAATCAACTAAACTGAACAAATCATTTTTAGGGAGATGGCGCGCGTTTCGATTTGGACACGACTATTAAATTCAACATTAATGGTACTTATGAGCTCAGTATTATCTTCCGGCCCGTTGTTCGTATTGAGTAAGTATTTCAGCTTGGAATACAGGTAACAACAGCTTTGAGCATATTATTTCTTGCCACTATTTGTTTTCTTCTACTCTGGGTTAAGACTTTTGCCTTTCGCTCTCTCTGTTTTTCTCTCTCTCTCTTCTTCTGTGTCTGTCTGATCCTTATGGATTTCCCATTCGTCCGTCGTGTAGCGAACAGAATTTTATCTCAAGTTCCCGACGACAAAAATTCCGAGTGCATTTTCAGTATTTACTTTCTTTTTGCAAAGGTCAAAAAGCAGTTGGAGCAGCGTACGATGTAAGCCTATATTTGAGAAAGCTGCCTAAAGTGGGTTGTGATGTTCAATAATAACATCTAGAAATTAGAAGAGGCATACCGCTCCGGTCGGCCATCCGAAGCCCATTAACATCGTATAATGGTGATTATGAGGAAATATGGCTGGCAAACAAAATGGACTAGCTGAAAAGATGGTCTGGAGCCATATGGCTTAAGGTCGACACCTTACAGCTACCGAATTCGCTTAAAGATTAGGAGTCTGGGTACCTACAATTTTGAGCGAAGAGCACTAGAAAACATAGCTCCATATTACCTTCTAAAATCTCGACTGGTACCAGGCAACACGCAATTACAATGACAGCTCTCTACAAAACAGTGTTATTAGCGTAGAAAAATGGTATGTCGATGTCGATATGGAGCAGATACTTCTGAATTCATTATTAAGCCAGATATCAATTGTGAATAGATTTACATTTGTTTAGACGGGAAAGGTCTTACCCACTGAGAACTTTCTGAGAGAAATAAAACAACTAATAAACATTTTTGGCGAGACCATCTTTCTTGTAAAATCTAATAGGTAAAGCAATGTCGTTTCTCTCCGCTCCCTTACACGTGGCAAAAGGCATTAAGCTCGCCCCCCCCAAAAGCCTGAACACGCGATCCTTATGCATTTACCAATATTTGCAAAATCTTACGCCGACAAAAATTCCACTGTCTTAAACTACTGACGAAAAAAAATTCTAGCAGGACATTTGACGGTAAAGAGGGTCTCAAAAATCGACTGCATGATTTCTTTAATATCCGGTCTGCGCATTTTTGGCTAAAGAGAATCGAAATTTTGTCCTAGAAACGGGGATGGCGTAACGGAAATCACGTAGTAAATTTCAAGTGGAACTATGCTAGGTGAACAAATCTACGTATCTAATATGAAATATATCTAAATAGCATTGGAGAACTTTCAGTGAGATACTTACGGCTAGCGCATACTATCGAGTTTTTCCTCGTTTCTAACCATGTGGCCGAAACTTAATGATATTAAATTATATATATATATAAAATTAAAAAAATAAATTAAATAATATTAAACCCATTTGTGATCTCAGTAAAAATGACGTATTCATATCGAAATTATCATTTTAGCGCCGCCGCTAAAATAGCTTTTCAGCTATTCTTTACACTACACTGAGGACCTGTACAATACCACAGCAAAAGATGAGCTTTCGGCGATTCGTAGGAGTTAATTTCCCAAAATCATATATGAAATCAAAGCAAAAGAAAAGGCGCAGACAGCTTTACTTGTTGAACGCGCGAAGTCTTCTCATTACTAAGGAGCTGTATGAAATGTGTAGAATAGCACGGCCTTGTTGGGCTTGAGCACCCTTAACTATAGGCTACATTTGCCCCTGATTGCGTAACGCCCAAATTTAACAGTTAAGCATGGATCTATTTTAAGTAGAAAACAATAGTTAACACCAGAGTGGTTTACGCTCGATGTTACCAATAATAATTCTAATTTGAGTAACTCGGCTTCATTGATCTTAAATCACACGAACAAAAGCTCAAGACCGTTCTTGTGTGAAGTGCTTCAGAACGACCGCGCTGTTCTAGAACACTAACGCATAAATAATAGAAACAGCTTTTTTTCATTGACGACGGCATAAATTTAAAGGATGGTTATGTTCTGCTCGAGAGATGAAGATATATGATAGTTTTGTATATGGTGATCAAGCCACCACTCAGCCAAACCGGGGAATATCCTTTTGAAAAATCGTATATTTAACGTATCCTCATGTAGAGCTAGAAAATAGAATGCTAGTTGCTCGCAGATCGTACGTATCGCCATAAACGCGAAACGGCATATCAATGTACATAGCAATAAAAAGATCACCTCAAAACCATCTCATACTAGCTGCTCATAGCAAATAGGTTTTATGAGCAGCTCTACGTAAGGAATGTATTAGTAGCATTCCTTGCCAACTTAATTTTTCTCCTGTGGCAGACGAGAGTGATCAATGATGGGGGGGGGGACAAGGCGTGAGGTGTCACGAGCTCGCAGAACAGTCTGATCGCATAATAAAACTGTAATATTGCATCCTTAAAGCGGACAGACGGTTGGCTGTTCAATGTTTTACTTAGTTGAATGATATTTCAACAAGTAAGTTCAGTTCTAATCAGTTCTTTAAATACTTTTGCGCCTTTATTTCTAGGCGCATGGAGATCATGGGCGATGTGAAGACACCGTCAGAAAAGAGTCGTGATCTTGAAAGCGTGACGTACGTAGCGTACTTCGATACGAAAGCGAAACAGAACAGTAAAAACGGGAAAAGAGATAAGATTCACATCTTCCTGGATGTACGTCGACCACAAATATGTTTCACGATAGAAATATAGGCCCATTAGGTACATACGTGTAACGAAAAAGTGGGCCCCTACTATTGAGCGTTGCCAAAGGATGAACGCAACAGATTTGCATTCGTTCTTAATTATTGCATTGTACACAGTTGTTTCTTTCGTATATCGCTTATTTCCGTCTTCATTTTATAATCCATTTGCATTCCACTTGTAATCAAGTGATATGTACGGTGAAGTTAGTCCTTCTCCGTTGTCCTTAACTGATAAAGAAAAAGTTACCTAATGCCAAGAGCTTTGTTGCATTTGTTTGCATTGTTTATATAGCGAACGTTATGATAAACGACAAACCTCCGTTATGCGCAGTCAAATATGAAATTATTGTGTACAAGAAGTAAATAGTGATTCAACAGCGATTTTTCTTTGATTTATGTGTCCTCATAAATGGTGATAGCTTGGCGAATATGGCCCATTGAATTTCGACCTGCAGGCTAAATACTACCGAGAAAAGGACAATCACGCAGTCTGGGGCAATCAACTTCATCATATCGACCTCGAGGCTTTCTGCAGTGGTGGAGAGGTAAACTCTAATAGAACCTGGGTTATGCCATTCTTCTTTTATGTAACATCGTCTCCGAGACGTATTTATAGATTTAAGTCCATAGAAGTTTGCGAATTTGGAACTATCGTAATTTTCACACACACTTCAGCCTTTGATCTATAATGGTTTCTTCAATTAAGTTGACGTTCTTTATTGAACCGCGAGATCGTAACAGAGCGGAAATTTCACCCTCTCCTTCCTTCCTTCCTTCCTTCCTTCCATTTACCCATTTATGACCTACTGAAAAAGCAATCTTTAGACGCTGTTTTTGGCGGCATTTATAGATTTCAAGCCATTCTGCATAATATCAGCTATTTGCTCAGGATTATACTGTTTACAAATGGATACGTTGCAGGTAAAGATATCGAAGATGCTGTTTTGGTAGGACCATCGTCAATCTAGCTCGACGACTCCCGCGGCCTCCGACAGCATTGCATTGACCGTCTACATCCATTCACCCAACAAGCCTCATTGTTACTATCCTTACCAATAATCAATTATGGTAATAACATAAATATTTATTTTAATGTATTGAGTAAAGTTTAAAGTATTGAGTAACGAAATGGGCAAAAAAAAGCACGTGCTTCTATTATGCAATATTTGTGACCAATGCAAACGCTCTAACTAGAGGTATCCATTGCCAGGTAACTGAAAGCTGCTAGAAGACCAAATGAAATAGAATGATCCATCTTCCTCTATTGTTACTGTTGTAGCAACTTGCCGGTACTGAGTGGTGCGGATGTCCAGAAGTTACAAAAAAAAGAAAACGCTAGTAAAGCAGTTCAACAAATTGGTACGGTAATGGAGCTTCTTCAGAAGTAAATCATTAGAGGATTGACCTGACGAAGGTGTGCGTTCAATCTCTTATTTTCAATTGCTAATAAGCTTAGTTGAAATTTGAATAAATGGGACCCAACCCCAAGTATCCACGCTGCACTAGCGTGTACTTAGCCGACTGTAGTCCTGCTTTAGACAAGGCCATTTAATGTGAGCAAAGTGTCATGAAAAAATTACTCATTTAATACATTGTTAATTAACGACAGGCTTACGCAAGTCTTAGCATTAGAAGTATCGTAACATTGCTAGTAATGTAATCTAAACTAGCATCCTATAATAGGGCTAGCTACTACTCACGTTAAAGAAACCTGTTTCAGCCAAAAGCCAATACAGATCTACTGCATCGACTAGCCTGAACTTCCAGAAACATTCGGACGCGAAATATCGATACAAGTTAAGCGTCAAACGTTTTGGGGATAGGACGTTTTCAGTATTGTACGGGAAAACCATGTGAAAGCTTGTCTTCAGTTGTTGTTTCGACATATCGCATTAGCATTTGTGACGTTAACTACTATTGAATGCAAAGCGATGACCATCGAGAGCTCAATCAGATGCCAGCAGATCTTTCCGCCGAAGCCTTGATCATGAGTAGACTATGTAAAGGACAGTAACAACACTAGCAAAGAAAAATGATTATATATACAAAGATGATCTGAGAAACTAAATCCAAGTGAGATGGTCAGCACTGCGTGACACGAATTCCTATGACAAACACATCAGCGTTTCAGCCAAGTTTGTGTACGGAGCACAAAAACGATATTTGCGTATGGGGCTATTGTCGACGAATTGGTGCTTCACAGAGTTTTGCTATAATTGTTTGGTACAGATTTGGTATTGTTTATTGCTTGTGCATAGCTGAATGCACCTAATTCGAAGAAAATCCAACATAAGCTAGAAGAAGAATCTAGAACGGCAAACTGTGATCAGCAGCCACGTTTTGTATCTCGAACCAATTTTTTCTTTTTTGTAATTTATGAATTTTAGCGTGTTTCGTTGTTACGAGCCGTTCAGCTTTGGAGTCTCAAAGAACGAATAATGCCTGTCCTGCAGGCGGCTCTTCGAGATAATCGCAATACTTTTGTGCCTACTCTCATTCGCACTTGTGGTAGTACCATAACGATCATCACTCAACAACTGAACATGCACATATATATCGTGATATAGGATATATGTGTGTCATGGATGTCCTGTTTGTTTCCCTACTCTATGTATCATAGAGTGCGTGATATTTATTGGTCGAATAAGAATAGATAGGCTATCCAGACGAACAAAAGCTTTGCTCATTTCTGGATAATAGTTACAATAATCATGCCATGAAATGGGACGTAGTTAATGGCTGAATATAAAGCTGGGAAGTCGTTTCAGAAACTATTGCTAGCAGTAATAACACTATTCTACTATTATAACTATGTTATTGTCCTTATATTTGTCATCATTTTGTAGGTAAGGAGGGATCGGCCTCTGTACAGCCAGCATAGATCCCGGACTACAACGTACATCCATCACAACAACGATAAACATACATATATATGTTTTATGCACACACACACACACACACACATATGTGTGTGTGTGCATAAAACGAAACACTCTGTTTTCAAAGCACACAAACAATAACGAAAACAGCGCTTTTATATACCCACATGCGTGTGTGTAGATGGGGCAAAATTGAGGAGTGAACGGACCTAAAGGCGTGCTAATAATGGGTGAGAAACAGGAAAATTGGGATCTACGAAGCACGTAAGAGTATAAAGGTATGTGCGCTAGCGAAGACATCTGCCTGTTCGTCTGTATGTGCCCGTGTACGTGCCCCCGCAAGTGGGATACGACCCGGGTGGGAGACGAGCGGACAACTCGAAACAACAAACACAGCAAGCAAGAAGCTAACTAATAACCAATCTCTAATAGTAGCCATTATAACACAAAAATTGCTTCGACCAACGAAAGTGGCTAGCCGGTTGGTGCAGATTCTAATTTTATGGTCGCATAATAGACGGAAACAATGCCATTGGAGGCAACAGTAGCAATATCAAGAATAACGATAACTCGAAACAGCTTACAAGCTCATGTGCATCACACAGAACACCTTTAGTTACTCTGATGTCAGGATATAAACGTTGCTATGCGGTTAACCTGCGCTGGCAATAGTTAGGCATTGAAGTGCTCGACGTAGGAGGCAAACTGATACTCAAAACGTGGTTACCAAACGCTTCACTTCAGGGGTCAAGCGACCGAGGACTAATTGCTTCCACGTCCCTTGAGACTACTTAGAATAAATTCATAGTTTGAGGAAACTTAGCTTCAACTGTGCATTTGTTTAAGTGGGCCCGTGATTTCTTTCGCTCTGTATAGAAAATATCGTTTTGCTGTTAGTTGCAATTTTCCTTCGTCAATTTATGCTGTTCTGGCGATTTAGTCTGCTATTTCGCGAATAAATTATGGAGAAAAACGGCGAAGCGTACATGCGTCTACAGCGCACAAACTTAAAATATACGAACCAAAGAGAATAAACAGGGTTTGATGGGATGTAATAAAAACCAGGTCGACTGCTAACTTGGAACATACGCACTTGTACATAAGTAATCCCCGAATTTTGTGTCGGACTCTGTATTAGAAGACACGGTTGAGCATCAGCAGGGTTCTTCTTGCATCGTCAATCACTAAGCATTTGTTATTTAGCATTGGATAGATAAATTACAGTTATCTTCGTCAGTAACAATTGATATAAAGGTTCTTTGCCAAGGAGTACTTTTCTAGCTTGTGATATATGTATCCCCGTATTACCTGCATATACAATAGTCATTTTGATGGTATAAACGACCATTTTAGCAGTAATAATTTATAACTAGCAGTTATTATCTCGGCGGGAACGGATAGCATCATTGTAGTTGGACTCGAAGCGTTTATACTCCCCAATACTCTATGATAACAACGTCAAGACTCGAAAATAATTTTCATCACATTAATTGAATGAAATATACTTGATTCAGCAGGAACAAAAAATGGTGAACCATAGCGCATTGTCTGCCTGTGTTTCCTTGCGGGATGCGTCAGTTTACGACGTGACTAGTATGTCTGCAAGCTCGCATCGTCGCCCCAGGAACAAACCATGTTTTTACGTTCGTTCAAACATCATATGCCATTTGATTTCATGATGAACACGCGAAGGAGACGCGTACGCGTACTCCTCATCGTACATACGCGTGCCGGTACATATGGCCATGCCTATGGTCGAAAACAACTATATATCATTCATACTGGAGATCAGTACGAGACACGACAACAAAGAACAACAAACTATCATCTACTACAGACAAGGGTTTTCTGTGGAGCTCCGTGAAACGGTAACGAAAACACTCTGCGAATCGATAAAATTGACGCTCAATTATGCAAGGCCGTGATTTGAAGCAAGTGGTCCCCGAAAAGACGTGAAGCCGACACCGCCTAGCGTCTGTAGTGCAAATTAAACCTTTTGAGGTGAGAAAATAATTACAGACAGACTCCCACTTTTGTTGTTCAAAGACACGGACATAGGGTACTAAATTTCCTCCTTTAAACTTCCTTTAAACTGTTACTTTCGAAAACTATGTCGAAAAATAATGATCGCTTTTCTAGCTAGGTCCCATATATTACGAGTCGTGTCAGCCGTCGGCTGTTATCTGAAAGCTGAGAGTAGTCGTTTTCAACTTGTCAGAATACCCTTATTCAAACTTCAGATAGAGTGTGAGTAAAATTTTTATTATTTTACTACCACAGAAGACCAAATGCTGTTGAAGCCTATGAAAAGAATTGCTCTATTTATGGGATGAAATGGCCCGAAAATAGTTCTGTCGCTTTCGTTATGATAATTTCTATGTGAAAAATTCTGCCCGTAGTGGTCAACCAATTGTGGAAAAAGTTAATAAAATTATCGCGGAAGTTAAGAAGGACCGACACCTGCGTGGCTACAACATCTCCTAGGAGCTAATTCTTTACCAAAGACTTTTAAGAAGCTGGCTACAAAAACGCAAAGGAATCGAACTATTTCTAAAGCGGTTGATCCCGGATGATAAGAAGTTGACCATATGTGACAGTGCGTAAACTGCTCCACAATCTGAAAGACTGATGCCAAAGAAGGAAATTTATGCCCTTGGTGGAACCAGAAAAGTATTATGAATCGCTTCCACCGGACAAAACGACTGGATCGAATTTTTTTTTTTGTTTTTTTAACTAACGAGATAATTCGCCTTTAAAAAAAAACTCGACTAGACCTCGTACATCTTTGGGTGACTGGCAAAAATTGAAAAAACTTGGATGGGAATGCCTATTGTATCTACAGTATAGCCGAAACCTTCTATCATAAGGCTACTGCAGACTGCTCCTTCAGTGGTGTTGACTCAATTTCAACGGAAGAATGCATAATCGTTTGCTACAACTTTTCGTCGATGATCACAGGTAATCAAAAGTGCATCACATACGACAGTGGCAAACTAAACAAACTGTGTGTCCTGCGGGACTGGAAAAAAGTCGTGCATTATAGGCTTGTGTCGCCTGGCAAAAGCGTCGTTTTCGATCCCTAGCGTCAAAACGTAGCAACATTACATTAAGGCAATGAAGAGAACGACCGGAACTAATGAACATAAAAGGCGTCGTCTTCCAAAATGACAATGGCAGAACATCTTTAGCTTTGCTACCTTGCAAAAATTAGGAGAACTTCAATAACATATTGCATCCGCGCTACAGCCCGATCCTTGCGATACCTTGCAGATCATCATCACCTATGCCAGTCTCTGCATAACTCCCCTAATGGTATTAGTTTAATTTCAATGGAGGAATGCAAATATTACTTGTCATAATTTTTTGCTCAGAAACCATAGATATTCCATACCTCCAGGTGGAATCATGCTGTTACTAGAAAAATTGAAAAAAACGTAAGATTATTGTAGTAAGTAAAATACGAAATATTTAGTGTAATTTTAGCTTTAAAGCGATCAATGATTTTTCGACAACCCAATCTATATATAGATCGGGTTGTTGGTATATATATAATATGACAGACGGCTCATGAGACAGTAAGTTGATAACTTGAAAGTTACATTTGTACGACACGTGCATATGTTGGTAATAATTACAATAGTATTATTACATATTTTCAACTAAATATACAAAGATGAATGAGAGGTCACGTGCTACTCCAGTCGTTGCGTAGTGCTGACATTCTTATGATTCTACAGCGATTGACGATGAATGTAAGTGGCATTCATGTAAAAGTAAAAATAAAAAAATTATTATCCTACAACAAAAACAACTACAGGATAAGATACGTAACAATGGGGCAAGCGGCCGCCTCAGTCGTAAGAGCAAATCACCTATGAACCCGTAAACAATAAAAACGCTTTTGAATAATGTGATAAAAAATAATAAATACAATGATGACAACAATTGAATACTAACAATTACAGTAATGGCAATAAATGGCGAGATATATAATCAAGTTACAAGGGAACCATTTCATTACGTTATTGTGATGATACTAATAAAATAAAGATTTAAAACCAGGAATTGAGTTCCTTGGTTTCCTGGCGTGTTTGTGTTTTTTGTAGCATGTCTAAACCGCGGCAACTTACAACGGTCTGGATTCAAAGATGTGAATTCTGAGATAAATGACATCATCAAAAGCGTATACAACCCTGCCCAGACCTATTATATTCTAAGGAAATAATTTTGTAAAAGGATATAGGATTTCATCGGTTTTAGTAAATCTCAGTGCAATATCTCTGATAGAAAAGGAAAATCGGAACTTTTTTGAAAAAATTATTTGATTATATTCCCTATCTATACATTTTTAGTTTCAGCTTGCCTTTGCACTATATATAATATATCGAACGTTCGCATGTATTGTTTCTATAACGTATTTATCTAATGTTGAATAATTTGAAAAGGAATCGCAGGCTACCTCCAGCATAGACTATACTGAGAAATGAACAGTTTTCGATATAAACTACAGCTTTAGTCAACAACAATTGTTATTATCATCACCACTCTTGTTATTTAGAATTATTCTATCATTACTTCGCGTTCCGCCACCTACTTATACATAACCTAATATAATATATTATATAATAAGTTCCAGCGGAGAGCATCCTCATTGGAGTGACTTATTAAATGCGTTTTGAGAGTATTATAGACATATATATATATATATATATATATATATATATATATATATAGCGGAAAACGACCTCGTGGAAAATGCAGCTAAGATGAAATAAAAACAGCATTTTTTTTAGGACGACTGTCAAACAAGAGCTTCTCGCGGATACTGAAAACGTCACCTGACAATTGGCTCTTCTTCAACGTATTTCATATTTAAGCTTTTCAAGCGTAATCGTTTGTTGTAAAGTTTGTCAACCAGACGTGGAGTTGACCCTTACAGATGTTTATTTATTTAGCTATAGTTTCTGATACGCATCAACAGAGCTGGCCACGGTTTTCGGCATATCGATTAGTCAGTAAACATAAGACGAATTTCATTTCCAGCGTGTTTCGGGTACGTATGTAGCCCTTGAATTGGTTGCATTTGGTTAACAACTTGATCTGAATTATCTGTAGAGCTATCCATCCATCCATCCACTTAGACGGTGCCATATAACATTTACGTTTGTCGTTGGAAACGCGTACGAGTCCCGTAGAATCATTCGTAGTACCAAGTAATCGTCATCTATACGCTGCTAACTTTGGGAAAGGGGCTGGGAAAGAGACGTCGACTAACAGATGAGGAACGATTATGATAACTGGCCCACAACAACGAGACGCTTTAGACAGTAATTCGTGTGCAACAACTCTCTGCTAGCGAATGAAAAACAAAATAAAAGGCCGAAAGTACAGGCAAAACAAAGTGAAAAAGAACCCGGAAAAATATCAATTGCATCGGTCGCTTCTCACCTTGAGTAGAAGAAAGAAGACGTCGCCGCGTAGAAAGATCCAAGTCTAAAGCTTTGTTGTTTCGGTCCATGTGTACGCCAGTTTGGCGTGAGCGAGCACGCGCGCGGTTCTGCGCTTTGCTATAGGAACACAAAACAGCGAGGGCAATTACGTGTTTTGCTGATGTCGTCCTGTGATTATGTACATATCGTCATCATCACCATCATCATCAAGGCTGAACTGCTTGTTACCTTTGTGTGTGTGTGTGGTAAGTATATTGCTTTATCTATATTAATACTTTACCCAGAAGACGTAGCTAATTATCTGGACTTCTTAGCGATTAGGTAATTGACTAGGTAGTTGACTACCGGACTATAAAAAATGCATGCTTGGGCCGGTGTCAATTAGGATCGCCTTGGAAAGGCACGATAGAAAGCTAAAATATCGTTTTGGATTTTAATGGACACGTGCGGCTTTACGATTTCCATTTGATCAAATTAATGAATAAAAATGAGTGCTAATACTTCGACAGAAATTGAACCCGCTGCCAATTCGATTGATTTTCGTCTCGCAGACAAACAAGACGCATGCTTGAAATAGAGCCACTCTAGGGGTCCGACAAGATGCTCAACCGTAGTCTGAGTTTTCAACATCTAGATAACAAAAGAAAACCTTGTAGACATTTTGTGGGCCACATTAGCCAAACATTTATAATTTTCTGCTCGTATAGCGCAATATCTAGGCTTAAAGATACAAGCCTAATCAAGTATGAGCACTATACATCTACTTTTGACGTAATATTTCTCTACGTTGAAAGACATGGGCGTTATTCTCCAAAGATAAATTTTGTCTAAAAGCGCGTTGTATAACTTTATGCTTTTGACCATAGCTCTGGTGACGCGAGCTATTGAAAAAAGAACATAGATATTGAGCGTCTTGTCAAGGCCTAGCTGACCTATCTCCTCTTTGTTTCTTTCAAGTCTCTTTAATTACCCCTTTAACTACTAAAAACATCACATATACGCTTATTACTCTGTTAATTAAGTTTGTGAATATGTTATTATTATTATTGTATTATAAGTAACGTAAAACCGCTAGGCTATAATTAGCTTGCCACATGTTCACAGTTTATACTACTGCACTATAATATACCGTACCGCAACGGTTCATTTAAGATTGCGGCTCAGGAATTACTACGGAAACATGCCATTTTAAACACATAATATAAACGAAATAACAAAACAGATTTAAAAATACTCACCAAGAGCATGTTAGTGGCTTTATCTTCAAACACTGCGGCTTAGAGTAGTGAGAAAAGAAAAGAAAAAAGATTACCGTTAGGGAGACCATGGAGCAACTATTGACGGAGTGATTATTTGAAGCCTGAACTTGATTTCTGTCACTGGATTGCTTTTCACAGAGTAACTAATCTACCTCTAAAATAATTAAATGATGAAATACCTTACCAGTTGCTTTTGGCCCTTTGTTTCATGTAACAAGGATAACAATGGTCATATTTAAATTGAAAAAAAAACCTTACGCTTACGAATACTAACAAGTTCAGTAACTTTATTAGTATCTGCAGATGATCAATTCTGAGAGAAGAAGTACTCTTGCGTGACGTAGTTACGATTACTGGTTCCGTTAATCGACCTTGCTCAGACGGTTTTCAGGTGCTGTCTTTTTTACCAAGAATAGAATCGATAGTTATCTGTACCCAAAAGGTCTGCGACAACAGGACGGAAAACATGCCGTCAAAGTTATGGCAGATATTAGCATCTGTCAGAAAATGACCGTGAGCGCAATTAGCGAGTAGTGAACTTCTCCTTCAAATTGCGTTGTGTCTTTTCCCAGTTGAACATTTTACCTTCATATGATTTCAAGCAATACGCTATAAAGAATTTTTAATTTACACTAAATGGAATAGCGTTCCTATTTCTTTGTGGATAGCAATGCAATTGCAAGATACGGTATGATATTATTGAAAGACATCCTTCTACGAAATTAATCAATTACAGATATTGCGTCCATAAAAGGTTAAAGGGAAATTAGGAACACTCGCTTCATTGTACAAATGAAGAGTAATTAAAAAAAATCGTCATTAGTTTGTTGGCTTTGTCTCTACGCCGTCCAGCCGTTCATTAAATTACCCTATTCACAGAAACTGCGTTAATTTTTTATACGTTACTACACGAATTAATACTGAGGGGGCGGAACGTAGATGTTTACGCACGGATAAATTTTACATATATATATATATATACGCGTATTTCTTAAGCGTAATCGATGTTATGGATTGTTTACCCTGTGCTCGATAGAACAAAGTAAATTCAATTTAAAATTTTCATTAGGAGTCAATTGTTTCATTGTCTGTTGTAAGGTATCCGTTGACGTGACACGTGCCCTTTATAAAGCTGCAAGACGAGCAGCCGGACGACAATTACCCGCGTGCTTAGCGCTAAGTGTTCTCTTGTTTCTGCTTCTGTCTATATCTTCCTTGACAAAGCTTCCTGTTGCAACGATAGCAAATAAAGGTCCCTGGTCCTTACAAAAAGGCAGCGATGAAAAAAATTTGCAAAAGCAAAAAGAAGTGTGTGCCAAATGAACTTTACACCCTTTCCAGAAAGAACCTTGAACACGATACTTAAGAAAAAGGAAACGCTGACCCGTCGTTTTTCGAATTAGGAGTTCATGTAATAATGACAACGCAGTGATTATAGCTATCATATCAGTAGTTTTTCCCTCTGACTGACTCTCATCTAAACTCGTACGTAAACAACTCTAGGGACTAACCTTTTGATATTGTTTTGAAAACTTCCAGGAGAGAACGTTGCTGGACCCACCTAAACTCACACTGTTATCGTTGTTATCTGCTTTGACGTCAGCTGGTTTACTATAAGGCATTGTAGAGTTTGCACATCAAACGTACGGTTTTACACAAACCTTAAATCAGAAAGTGAACCAGACGGTAAAGCGACCGAAAAAAAGGTTTACCTGTTTTCATTACAAAACTTATGCAAAAGATCGCTACTGAAATTACATCGTATAAAGTTAAGCAGTGATAGCCTACAAACCTCATTTCAGAAATTTCACGGTGCTTTCTCCTATTTATCTTCCTACACGAAGGTACTCGACACAGTACAATGTATTGCTCTACGAACACTTTAGTCTAAAAGACTCATGGATCATCTCAACTATTGGAAAAATTTCATCTTTAGTCATTAAAATCCTCAAACTATACTAATTATATTAAACCCGGATAAAAATGATTCGGAGCTACAAAGAGAAATCGTATATATCGAAAGTATATCTTACACGTTTTTCTTCAATAAAAGAACTAAGAAAACTAAATTGATAAAGTATAGTGTACTTCACGAATACGTCCCCAATTAAGTAATAGACACTATGTACTCTATATTTCCGTCTGTAAAACATATTGTTTCAAAAAGTTTCGAAATCTAATTAGCCCCGCGATCTTTATACAGAACAAAGACACTTTGTAAGACAAAGACTGTAATTTACATTGGGCTCAGGATTACAGTAGTTTACACTGGCTCGTGGAATTATTGAATCTATTTGACCCTTATGCTAATACTAACTTACGATTGTTTAACTAATACTCATTATCTTCAAAAATTGCAATTTTTGTACACTTCAGTCAGTGACGTCGCAGAAAAGGGAACTGTAAGCGGTACGTAAGTGTTTCCTCAGTAAATAGTGAAAAAAGGAAATAGATATGTTTATTGTGTTTCCCTTCAATTCAGTCTTTTCCAGCTCCGACGGGAATGGCTTCCTATTCCTTTAAAAAATCTGTTATAATGTCATGGCATAGCGAACAGAATTTTTGCTCTAATTCAGGTTCCGATAAGGCACATTTTTGATGAAGAAAAAATGGCGCATTTTCGACATTCAACTTGCATGATCCTTTACCCGGGCCAAAGAGCTACCGAAGTCGCTTAGGATATTTACGCTGGTACATCAAAGACTCATTAAGTTGAACGTACTGTGCTAAGTTCAAAAATGGCGTCTTGAACTTAAAAGACGTGCACTAATAAGACCAGAAGGTTGATGAGAACCTCGACTGGTAAACAACACTTCAATTATCTGTTAGTTACCCATAAGCCAGTTTCGATCAATGAAGTTAATGAAACTTTGTAAGTCTGAAAGCCGTATAGTTGGAATGAAAAGCGTAAGGAAACATGGTTTTTCATTGCCTCTCGACATCTCACGGGCATCGAGCGATACGCTGCTACAATGGCAAGTACCTATGCAGGCATGTTATAGGTGACGAGAGGTGGTGCCTTCACATAGATATAAAGCGAGAACAGAAAAAAGCGCTTCTGGCACATATGATTAAAATTGAGTTAGACCCGGTCCGAAAAAAGAAAGCGTAATTTGTGTTTGGTGGAACTAGAAGGGTCTTTTACAGTGGGAGCTTCTTGAGAACACAAGCACAAGATAGTCAATAGAAATCTACATATGGCCCAATAACATCGAGTGTAATAGATCGAACTTTTGTTTTCCAAAGTTACGTGTTAATGTTAGTTCTATTTGCTTGTCGGCTTACATAATATATCGCTACTGTTGAAAATTGGGTAGACAACTCTAGGCGATACGATTTCATCATAACTAAAAGTAAGCTGCTTTAATGGGTATGCTCGTTGGTTTGTACATCTAGTGTTTTTCCAATTACCTGAAAAAGGCACGGTCGTGACCATAAACAAAACAGAAGGTTTTCCATTTTCCCTGATCAACGCATGAGTCTAAAAAATTTAACTGCTGGCATAATCAATGGAGTTTTTGCCACTTCCTACTAGATAAACAATGTCAAGCGATTTGTCCGATTAGATCAATTACTATTGAATAAATACAGTTTTGCAATGTTTAATTTTAAAGGATTGCCAGAGATATTTTTATGTGTATGTGTAAGGCCTCAAGGACAAGAAAAACTTATCATGTGTTAGATGATACAACTTAGTTCAATATTTTTTTTATCAAAACGTAAATGTATGGTTTTGTTTACACGAAGCCCAACTATACGCCCATTTATTTTTAAATAAAAAATGTAGCATATTTTAAATGCCTTCTATTTTCTATGCCATATGGAGTCACGTTGAATTAACAATATATTTTTTAATCGAGTCTGAAATGTACTATTTCTAGGCCATTTGTTAGTTAAGAGCCAATTTTTCAGAAAACATTTTAGAGAAATGATGAGAATAAACAAGATGAAACTGCCTGGTATCAAGGGTGGGCTTTGTACCCGACAGAAAGTAAAAGCTATGCGAATTATTGCATTACATCGGACAATAGAACTGCAATGGAACATAGGTGCACAAAATAACGTAACACTTGAGTCAATTAGGCAACATACTGAGAATTTTCAGTCAAGATTTTTTAATGTGTAGATTCGGAGAACGATATTCTTGTCACTGCAAGCCGATTCCGCTGCAAGTATCGGCCATATACATACGTATTGTTGAGTAAGGGAGTCGCTTAAACCAATAATGGTCTCTGCTGAATTGTGTTGTACTTCGCCATTTTTTCCTTGATGCGCTGGCTTTAGCTTCATGCATGCTGCCCAAAAGTCCACATATATGTATATGATAATATACTTTTAGCAAGTTTGATTATTGCATTTTGAATTTAACGGCTGTGGCTCTCATTTAAAATGATTACAGTTTATTTGAAGGCAAACAACGGATTTGCAGCTGTTCCAACTTCGTATATGTGACTGCAACCCTTCCAAAAATGGGTATGTATAATCCACTATGAATTAAGATAGATCTTCTAAGAAATGTCAGCACTCCAGTCCAGCTGCACATATCTGACATATTTAATCGTACAGCGAACACTTTCCCCTAGTTTCAAAATACTACGCTCTGAGCTTTACTTAAAGTTACGATGAAATCAGGTTTTTCCGGATTTGGACATTATCTATTTACGCAAAAGCTATTCACTAATTAAACCGAAACGAAATCTTTGGCTAGGTTTCAGTTATTTACAGGATCTTATTGTTTATATTACTCTATTATGAACTACCTACCAGGAAGTCATGTTTTATGCCCCGAATAGTATTTTTGATATCTGAATGTTCTAATGGTTTATATAATAAGCGTCATCACACAAGTTTTATGATACTTATGCGTCTTTGACGACACTTGGAACAGCAGCGATCCCGCACCGTGTAAACCTCTTGCTTGGGCCGCAGGCAGACCGCAACAAATTACGACAAATCGGTTGTTAGCCGTCCAAACCACTGAGTCATCGACGACTCTAATAGCCTAGATTATAAGCCGACGGGGTCGTAAAATACGCTGTTCGAAGTTTAGGGTTATTTCTCTGGTCTGTAAGACAACACGAATTTCATTGCTGAACGACAGCAGGCAGTTTTAATTCAGCGAATGGGGTTTGTTTCAATATAAGTGTAGGCTGCGATGCAATAGCGCTTAACTTAATCGCTGAGTAGTCGGCCACGATGTCTCATGAACGTGGTTTGCCATCAAGGTTAGCAGGCTCATATGACAGTTGCTGCGTGAGTCGTAAGAAATGATTTATTCAATACTTTTGCGCAGATAAACTATTTCAGTATACTCTTGCATTAGTGTGAAATAGCCAAGAACGCGGCCTAGGAAGATTATGATTTTTTTTAATAACATATCATGGTTTAAATATTTACCAAGGCAATTTAGTAGATACGGTCTTGAATTGACTCGAGTAAGCATTCTGCATCACTGCATTATACAAGTAAGGCTATAAAAACCTTGAGCAAAACAAATTGTTTCAATTTCTTCAGATGCGTTCAGATGGCGGGAAACGATTCGAGAAATAATCTTTGTCGTGTCATACCTGTCAGCAGTATCTCTGTCTTCTACCGTAGCGTTTCCAGTGATCGACGAGCCGATTTTCGACGTGCTCGGGCATAAAAAGCCTGATGTCCTGTTCCAAGGCGGACTCACCTCGCAGTTCTACAACCAACAGGTAGAAGGCTCATTTTGATGCGCATAATGAGTCAGTTATCATAAACGGACTTCAAAGAGATAATGCTGTACCAATCAACACATGACATACATAAGCTCTCGTCATTATATTTTTATTGATATAAGGCATAATTGTATTTCTGCTTAAACTATAACAAGAAGAGTGCGTATAATTAGCTTATCTTACCATTTTCTCAAGTCAAATCATATCCAGAAATATTTTATCCAAAATAATTTTAAGTGGGATATTACATAATCCCTTGAACTGTTCCAGTCGATATAATGTTACCACTGTTATTGTTAATCAATTCTATCTATGTATGTATGTTCATCGTATAAGACTATGATAGAGAATAGCACAGTTCGCATGTACTCCTCGTTCGGAAACTTAACGACTTATCGATACTCACACTTTAGCCGCCTGCCTTTCTCAAAAGCCAGACCGTTTGACTTCCGTTTGTCAGCAATTTGAAATGAAACCGACATTATCGAAAAGTGAAACAGCAAGAACAACACTTTAGTTCGCCGTGCCGCAATAGTTTCTAACCATAAAACTCATATGATTAGTCGATCTCATTAGTTGACGAGCTTATGGGTCACTCCGCTTGCCTTGGTCAATGCATAAACTAAACAATTCCATGGATAGCTTTACTAGTACCTTCATACGAAGTATTCTCACATTATATTGACGAAACCTCCATAAAGTCACCAACTCTGTACGCATAAAATGAATCATGCCGACAAATATCTTAACAGACCGAATATACAGTTAAAAGGGTATTAATTACTATGAGTGATCATCATCGGCATATTTTTATCTGTGATCTTTCGCTATAAGTAAGTCCGTTCTTAAATGCTGGTTCGATGGCATGCCGTAAACGTTTTTTGCAAATCACGCCGTCCTAGCCAGACAAAGTAAAGGTTTTTTCTTCAGCATTCAAAAGAGACAATGCTTTCACCACAGGTTAGAACATCGCTGGGGTGTGCTAGTTCGAAGTTATTAAATAATTTCCATTATTAAACACAACACCCGTATTGTAACGCCTACACAGCTGTGTTGCAATTAAACTAGTCAAAATACGTATCTGGAATACGGAATGTCATCACTAATATATAACGTGTCAGATTTTTCAGTAAGCGCAAATAATTCAACTTGTTATAGCCCCAATGTCATAGAGTGCGAGTGTTCTTAGTAGTTTGGCGGGGGGGGGGGGGGGGGTTAAGCATTAGGCATTAAGCACGCATACTCCGCGTGCGTGCTTAATACTGTTATAATAATATAACGTATTCGACTAGTTTACGTGTAGTAGTTAGTACTACCTAAAACATGATAATGAGCCACACTTTGGTCAATGATGATCTGGATAACCCAGACCCTGTGACATTTCATTGATACTATCACGTTAAACCTAATAATTACGAATCGTATGGATTGTATGTATTCGCATTGCTTTGAGTTATATGAAGACCCGCACTTTTTAAATAGATTACGTTGATCTACTAATAGACAAATAATCACAGTAGCTATTGTCGACTTTTATTAATTCTTATTTAACATTTTTATAGTAACTTAATAACGAATGCAATCAATCACTTAATAGTAAGTATTATAATACAAGAAGCTAGTTTGGTACAATTACTGTACGACAATGACGATCACATCGATCTCGCAGGGAAAGTGTCAAAATTATATAGACACAAATCCTTGTTATTCAGCTACTCTTCGGGCCTACCTTCCGTAATAATTAGTTTTATTTATATGCAAATAAAAAAATTATTGACGAACATGCTGTGAATGGGAACAATGTGGATAGAACTTGCGATCTATTTCAACTCAGTCTATTGCAAAACTTTGACTCCTAGACCATTTCGATAAGTTACTATTAATAAATTTATAAATTCATTCAGACAATAGAGTGATTCGTCTAGATCATAGCAGAACATGTCCATATCTTTTATGCGTTTCAAGGCAGCAATCCAAATGCTATGGCTCATACGTGCCCCACTGATAGAATTTGATTTGCTAAGAAGGCCACACTTTTACTCTCCAAAGGTCAGGAATCAAGAGCGGAATATACGACAGTAGCTTATCCGAAGATATGCACCCTATTGCATAATAGGTTGCTATTCAGTGCAGTAAACTAGGTAGAGGGTTACGGTGAGTCTAGTGTTAGATTACTTGAAGATCGGCCTTATTTTCAAATTTCCTTATCATACATTGTGATGCCTTCGGAGCTGAACAAGTTAGCAGTGGTCTCTGTTTGACAAGACACTTGTGCAGTTTGTAAAGTTATATGAGAGCAATCGTGTAAAAAGTTTACAAAATCTGCGCAGAGTAGCAGTATTGGCGTATTTTCTTTGTTGGTTCATGACAAAATGTCTGCTGTTCAATGAGGAAACGAGTTTGCACGTTAACCGCTTGCTTCGTGAGAAATTCAACAAAGAACAGCGCGTTCTTGCTTTGAATATTCGGAGCCCAAAGTCCCACAACCCGCACAGTGTAGTGTAACAAAACCTACAAGGAGACCGTGGCCTGGCCTTGCATAGACCGAAGGCTACAAGTCTAACTAGGATCTACGCGTTAAATAAGCACAATGTAGAGTAATTCTTCATGAGTCTCTCGCGGTTGTACAATAACAAAATATTCGAGCCGCGGTAAATCTTCGTGGTGAAACAGTTCTGGTCGACGACGAAACGGTCACTGAGCACCATAGGTCTACGCGGTCTCTAACGCTAGCCCAGTTAGTATCACGTTGCGGCGGAACGAGAAAACTGGGTATATGATCGTGATTTATATTGAATACGTTCGATAACATTATAAATACAATGACTGAAACCAACGTAGATACTATTGATAAGTAAAGCGCTATTTGATATTTCTCCTATAACAAGCCTGTTATCCTTCTTACCACAGAGCAAAAACAGATGTTCCGAATTCGATATATTAGCACACCTTGTTTTGCTTTAGCAGATTTTCAATTAGCTGGACATTCTGATTGTGGGGGACACAGCGCTATTGTGCTGGGTACCCAATACAGTAACGTCATCGAAGTGTGAACAACAGCTGTAAATTGCCGCGCCTGGGCTACCCGAGTTCCACACTACTTGGTCTTATAATTTTGCTTTTCCTCTCAACGTGATCAATTGTGATCTTTATGACGGTGGAAACTGACTGCATGTAACATATCATCAGTTTAAAGGCGAGAATGGATTACCATGTAGCTATGCGCTAACGAATTTTACGAAAAAACGTTTGATAAACAAAGCAAGATACTTCTGTAGCATCTGTGAGTCATTCCTGGCGCGGCGTACCCAATCGGTTAATAAAATATAGGTAAAAATCGTTTGTTTATAGGTCGTCCTGTAAAATTTGCTTACAATTTTTAAAAGTGTTACACAAAGAACTGTCACACAGCCTAACTAACAACTATTTACAATTCCTAAAGTCTCGTAATAACCCATGGCGCTAACTTTAAAAAGTCAATAGATTTACGTTGCGCATGTCGCGTAATCAAACCATGATGGCATCTAGTGCGGGCATATTTTGATAAATCTAAAACTATTATATCTACACATTAGTCATCAGCTTTACTATCCACACGCACTCGTAAACGGAATAGCTTCGATACACTACTATGTTTGTTTGCACTGATTTCTACTGAAACGGTTAAATATTAAGTAGACTAGTTTCAAGAAGTTTGTTACGATCTTCTCTATTACGGCAATTTCTATTACGGGATGTGTTTATAGCGGCTGCTAGTGGAATTTTACTGTACGAAGTTACTTAATAGTCTATAACGAAAGGTTGCCACCCTTGCTGCGTGTCCTTTCGATAATAAGAAGAAACAATATTCTATTTTTCGGTGACCTCCTCTTCTGCGCAAATTTTGAGAAAAGATATTCGTTATATATAGAAGATGACATCTTGAAACGCAGCGACCAATTCAATTGCACAAGCTGCGTTCAATCTACTTGTTTCTTTTGTAGATCTTGTTGACAAGAAGCTTGAAGATGTCGGTATTAAGTCCGAAGCTATCTGATCTCAACTCAATTTTGGCTACTTCTTCTCTGATGTCCGCGAAAGCTCGCCCCTCTGCTTCGCGGAACACCTCGGCCATTTGAAGTTCGTCATAGAGCTTCTTAACTACGGCCTCCTCGGGTCCCCCGGGTTTACCTTTACCGTAGTTTTCCAATAAAGTCTTTTTCTGCGAAGGAGTCGCTATCTCAAGTGCCTTTACGACCAGCCACGAGCATTTAGCGTCGACAATGTCCGTACCGATCTTTCCAATCACTTCAGGAATGCCGTAGCAGTCGAGGAAGTCATCCTGAACTTGGAAAATGTGCCCGATTCGCAGTGCCAGTGCTTCGGCCTTTTTATGACTACTTTGATCTGCGATGCCGGCCAGATACATACCCAACCTGACGGGGAGCGAAAATGAATAGAATGCTGTTTTGTATAGGACAATGGCGTTATAACGCTCCTCTACGTAACCGCCTCCTTGCCGTTCTGATAACAGGTCGAGACATTGGCCTGAAGAGGTCTGGAAGGACGCTTCGTGAAAAAGCTCTAGCAAATCAAGGTAGTTCGGACTGCTTCGAAAGAAAGTCTTCAATACTCGATAGACAGCCGTCTCGCATAGAATCGCATCGTTGATTGCCACCATTTGGACACCCTCTATTAGATGCCAACATGTCTTGCCACGTCGAGTTAGACTATTATCCATAATGTCATCACAAATAAGGAAAAATGCCTGGAGTAGTTCAACGCACCATCCAAGCAAAGCCGCTTTTTCCAATTTATCATCTGTCATTTCAGTCTTCTCTAGTGACTGATACGCTAACATCACAGCCACAAGTCGATTCCGTTTCCCTTCAGGCACATTGTACTCGATAACTTGACGAAGCCAGTCGGCAAAGTTTTTCAGCCGGGGGTCGTCAAGAGTGGTTAGTGAATCGAGTAGTTTCTCGAATGCCGCGTCAACGATGGGGTGCGAACCACTCGTCACCTGGAGACGGTGTTCACCATCCACTTGCGGGAAAAACTCACTCACTGTTGGCTGTTCCTCCATTTGGTTGCTGCTGCTGTTACTGGAGATTTTCTGCGCGAAAAGACACAGGCGACGATCTCTGGGGGCTAACTTCGTCAGAGTCACTGCACTAATCCTCTCCAGAGCACGGCACGGAGACCTTGTAGCAGCGCCGGCACCACCACCTCTATTTTTACCAACGGATAACACAGATCCGTGTTTGACGTTGTCAGCGAGGCAATGCAGATATGCAGAACTATTATTAATACTGCCGGCGTTGCTGCCGCTGCTTTGTTCGGCTGAGCTTGCACAGCTCTTTGAAGTTGCACTCTCCACTGGGCTATGCACTCTTACGTTACTACTCACTCTTACATGTGGACTGTCACCAGCACTATCACTTCTTCGACTACCAAAAGAGCGATTCTTGTTAGTAACGTTTGCGGAGAATTTGCTGAGGGCCTGTCCCCCTGCAAAGGTGGAAGCGAATCGGACAATGTATCTATAAGGCAGAAAAAATAGAGTTCTGTTTAATTTGATAATCTGTATACGATAAACGGAATGAGCCAGCGAGCCGCAATAAGGGGCGGAATTGATTTGGGTACTGCTTGGCCGCCACTCGTACTTGCCACGTGTTAATATGCCGGTGATTGGCGAGGATCTATTCGAGTTGAGTTGAAGCTTTGTTGCCAATTGACATACACGGCTATAACATCCCGCAGCAGTAAAGCAGATGTTAGCGGCAGTTCCGAAAGGAGCGTGTGTCAGCAACGAGAAGCGGCAGATCCACTGCAACGGGATCCGGACGAAAACGCGACTTTGGTGAAGGGCAGCAGCAAAAGGAGAAAAAGGACTGGAAACGATAACGGCCGTTAGATGCATCTTGCCAACGTGAACGCCTCCTCGCCAGATTGCGGCGTTGTAACCCACAAACCCATTTCACTAATTCACCGAAAGGAATCCCATACACCTTCAGCAGAGGCTAGATCTAACTGCTAGCATCATTACACTTTCCTGTCCATCCGGAACCAAAAGTACCCCACGAGAGATAATGATCGCGCCGTGCCACAGCGTCGTTTCACTATATTTGAATGCAGCTAGAACGTTTTTGAGCTATCAGCATCGAAGGCAAAGATGACTAACTGACCGGCTGGCTGGCTGGCTGGCTGGGTGGCTGGCTGGCTCTAGTATTCTGGGAAACAGTAACAGCAATATGTTCAGTTATAGGGTGGAGTAAATCAGCTGATATGGTTATTGCCAGCCTGACAGTCGCACTCAGAAACAAGTCCGCAATAACGGACTTGTTTCTGTCTCATATCCAGAGCGTTTTATTTCGCAATATCTTATAGGATTTGAAATAACACCTTCAGTTTTAGTATATTTAAGCTTACGTTGTTAGGTCTCAAAGTATATCGATTTATGGCTGTTTGTTACAGTTCACGCATAATACTCGAGCGATGTTTTATTGTTACCTCTAATTACATAAACGACGGTCGTGCGAAAATGTACGACAACGGCAACAGTAGGAGCTTCAGAAGATAATGAAAAGAAAAAGAACAACTTCACTCTGTCTAGGTTTGCATAAATTAAGAGGCGAATTTGCTAATGAGGATCGTTTTACGTATCTTTATTGATATTGCTATTTCTGTTAATGTCGTCCCATTGAACTAACTGACTAGCTTTCTACGTTGAGATGATAAAAAAGGAGCGAGAAACATAAATTTTTGGGTATGTCTGCTTCAAGATTAGTGCAATGTCTCAATCCTTAAACAGATGTCATTTAGATGCCACACACACACCGTACATTGATACGCATCACCTTGCATGACATTCGAAAAGGCTTTTTAATGTAGAATACAGGCGATTTACTTATGAATAGACGACAAGATCTACAACTCTAAACATATTCTTTTTGCAATACATCTATATGTAGTTGCCAGGAATTTCACTTCCCTTAACGACTGGACATACAGACGCTGCACTTTTCCGCGAACAGTTAGACTTAGCCTTCAACGAAATACCTCGTGTTTCCAACTTGGAAAATAAGTTCGGCATAACGCTTCCCGGTATCAGTAAAGACAATGCCACAACTAAGAAGATAATAGCAAATCGAGAAACCTGGCAAAAAAAAGGGAACGTTGATTGGAATCAATTGCTCGGCCACCTCAGGGGCCCTAGGAGGCAAATACCCTCCATACACAGGTTGGTCATACATGCAAATCAGCATAGAAAAATCTTTCTAGTACTAGACAAGTTACTTACAATTGGAAAACAACTGATTTTCTTCATATCTTTCGCCTAAAAAGTAACCAATTGGCACGGGCGAAAACCTAAGTTTTTTTTATTTTCAGGGATAGCAGCAGCTACACAGGAGGTCTGAGAGCAGGCGCCTTAGCGAAGATTCAACCTCCTGCCATCAATGACGACGAAGGGGCATTACTGAGTGCTCATGCAATTATAACGATTAACAGTAACGACTGAGTGTACACCATAGGTGTAGCGAGACTCTTTATCAGAAGGAAAAAAATATACGTATACACGTACTATTAGTAAGTTATTTAGCATAATTGTCATGGCGATATTTCGGAATAAACTATGAGTCCACCGCTGTTCTGTTTCTTATGATTACCTCATTATTAATTTATAAAAAGCTAGCATCTCATATTTAATACTCTACGGATATTGTAGACCATATTCATTGGGCTTATAATTCATCGGCTGTTAATATGCTTTATAAATTCTACTATAGTCTTCCGAAGACCCTATATTTTTCCACCGTTTACTTAAAACTGGAGAATTAGTACCCTTTTGTATAGTTTTGCTTCTGCTCTATCGACTTGGTAATGAAAACACAACACCTGACCTGCATAAACATAACATTAATTATTTAAGCCATTTTTATACACATATCCATTTACAGTGTCCCTGCAATGGCAGGATGAACATGATAGCTGAAGAATGGTGGATGAATTCCAAAAAAAAATGCGCCTTCAAGTATTGTTTAGACATTCTTAACGAATACCTAAAACATTTTCCAACAGCACCGATGAAGTGTGAATTACGTCAATATTATTCTTACAACGTGATGATAATGAGATGTAATTAATAGAGTGAGCCAAGTGGACAAGTCCCTGGGTAAGCCTTCCTTACCAGGATGTAATCATCAGATGATAAGGGTTGATGCTCCTTCCTGGTAGACACCGTTGAACGTGTCGACTAGTATTCGACAATAATAGAAAATATCCGCCTGATCAACGTCTTATGATCCTTGTTGTATACAGTACGTTTTTAATTGTACACATTCACGTTGTTTTGTAACGGATGATTAATTAATTCGTTTTTGTTTGCGTCCTATATATTTATATCCATATAGAAATGTCGATCTATGTAAGCATGTTAAATATCCAATGCAGTTCAATCAAACTAACCGCAAGTTCGAATCAAATACGAAAATCTATACCTGTATTGCTATGTTTTGGCATTTCTGAGTAAGTCCAAACGTTAGTGGAGGGGATCATATCAAAGCATTCACCCGTACATTTAAAGACTGAGACATTAGCCAAGAAATGCCCTTCAACTGGTAGCATTCTTGTCTCTGTGGGAACCCGGCGAGTCGATAAATGAGCTCCTTATAATATAGAGATATCGATCTAATAGAGTTATGTAACACTTATGTATTTCAAATAGTCTTCTTCAAACTTTTACATAGCAGCATATGACGTGATCATTTCGCAGGGCAGAATCTGTATTCTACCATATACAGCGGTGAACGTTTTGCCCTTGGTTTACCCTACCTCAACGGCTGGTACCATTAAGCTTTCTGTATTGGCAAGATAAACGTAGCCGGTACAACTTCACATTGAAGTTCTTCGAACTACACAGCTACGAAGAGTAAAAACTGACTAACAACTGTACAGATTGATTAGTTGTAAATTTCACTGCGCTTGACAAATTAACACGACGTTAAATGAACCAAGGGTAACCTTCCAAAGTTTTGACGTAAGATGGATAGCTAATTTTCAGTCATCATCGGGTTTACCATCTTGTATGTGTAGGAGTACGATTGCAACTGAAGCCCAGTCCTCGTACGTATATAAAGGGCTATAAAGTATCTAGTAATAATATTAAGTTTAAGCTCATTTGATAGAACTAAATGAAAGTTCGTGATTCCTATTCGCAATATTATTCAATTAAAATTGTATAGTTGATTTACGTGTGCCTCGAGAGACTCCTCACTGGCAATACGTAAAATTTTATTTATTTTTTTTATAGTTTCAAAGTAATTTATTAATGTAGTTATCTACAGCAAGAACCACCTTTCTTTTGGACGAATGGACGCCGATTCCAAAACAAAACAATCCCTTGTTTTTGCATGTTTCCGCAATTCCAGCAACATACGAACACAGGAGAGGCCAGCTGTTTCTAACAGTAGTTCTATGTATTTACCGTATAAGGACGCATAAAAAAAGAGTATATATTAACGATTCCGGAAAAGTTACACAGGAAGATAGCTAATTCGTGTATAAATGTATAAGCGTTTCATCATATAAGCCAAAGGAGCGGGGTGGCGTGAAACAATGATGTAAAGCCTGAACTCTCAGTAAAGAGCTCACGAAAAACGGAGCAAACTGGCTAGCTATTCCTGACTAATGCAAGGTCTTTTCAGGCTGTTCGCATTTTATATTATATTGCCATTGAACAAACATTACAACTAGTGTCCTCCAGACAGCTATGTAAATGCGTCGCCAAAGTTAGCTCCTCACTTTAGATGCTATTACATCGACGCGCGCAGGAGCAAGTAACGTTGATCCTCACAAGTAGGACAAGGTCCCACAGCACACCCTTGACGTTCTCAGCTCTTACCACCATTATAGAAGAGGAGCGCCGCTCGGACCTTGAAGAGGCAACTAAATAAATTTTGTTAGATGATTATACAAAGCTGAGTCAGGACCGTATACACAAATCACGGTGTCTTGATGATGCCCGGTGGAGATGCAGCTTTAACTTGTCTTCTAAGCGATGTTCGCCGAGGTAGTGCCCCAGCTGGCGTCGCCGATGATCCGTTACTCATCGGTGACGTTGGCGATGAGGCATGGTTGTTGTGAAGGGGGGTAGTGTTGTTAGGAGTCGACGACATCTGGGGCGGAGAAAACGTGAACACCGTCGGGGAAGCGTCAAATGAGACGCTTTTGTGAGTGACCGCAAAACTCTGGTGGGGTGTCTGTACCGCCGCCGAGTACCCGATCAGATGATGGAAAAACAGAGAGAGAGAGAAAGAGAGAAAGAGCAAAGTCAGCGTCTCACTAAAAAAAATTATTGTTTGTAATCGACTAGATCCTAACCATTTTAGGTACACTAACTCGTGGATTAGCTCATTGCGTGCTGACTAAGCAATTATGCTGTGGGTTATTCTCTCCAATCCGATCTACTAGGCCACAGTGTGACAGTTAGCCCTTTAACAACCTCTAACCTATGCTGATTGCAACAAACTGCTATCGCTGGCGTCAAAGTACTTTTTTGGGTAGCGTGGGGATACATTCCACTAAAAAACAAATTCAGTACATTTGTTTAGTATTATTCAGGAATCAGTACCGGATCCCGACGTTCGTAGTGGTAGTAAGAACTAATGAAACGTAGTCATGGTATATGGTACTTAGTTAAAAACTTAAGCCGGATGCGTCTCCAATGGGCACACACAACAGCATACAAACGGGACAAAGAAGCAGAATGACAAAAGAGTTGTCCATACGAACCGATTCAAACCGATTTTAGCAGGCGGTTGCATACAACAATCTTGGATATGGCGGGTCTCTGTTATAAATATCATATTATTGCTGGTTTATAGTTAACTGTAATAAATGACGAAGTCTCTCCAACCGACCAATATTATAACATCTGTACACAGACGACCTTTTAGTAAAAGTTCTTCCGCAAAACATACCTTTTCGTCATCTTTCTTACCCTCAATCAATAAATGCGGCACGGTTGACTGAGTGCAATAATGCGCAAGCAAACTTATGGTGGTCGGTGAAGTAAATAAAAAGTGCGTGACTTCTGTACATAACCGGGTCACTGATTTAATAGTCTGAGGGAAAGGGAGATAGAGCGAGATTTGACTCGGACATACATGAAATTTGTTGTTTACAAGAGATTATCTCAAACTTACACTTTATCCATCTGTACATCTGCTTCGGTAGAAGAGCCTGTGTAGAACTGAAGCCACGCCTTTAACTCAGTCAGTGTCACTTTGTTACTTCGTCATATGATCACATAGCCTGATGGTGTTGGCGTTGACGTTGTTGCTATACACATAGAACAGCGTTTCCGACAGTGAGTGGTGCGTATCAGAAATTCACGAAGCGGGAAATCCCCGGATCGGTACCCCAGTAGCAGAGATAGTGAGGGCCAAATAGGATGGAATTGAATGGAGTGCAAAAATAACGTGTTTGACAAGTTGGTTGATGACACGCGTATCATCATCATTATCATCATACCAATAAACAGATCAAAGAACGAGGTTGCTTAATTCTCTAGTCACAGACGTATCTTCACAAAAGCTCACCGGCAATAGTCTGCCCTCTCATATTAATCACCGCTGTGTGAACGTTACTGTGAGCACAAAACCTCATTTACTAAGTTGTATATAATTTAATCAGGTTGAGGAAATAATATGAGGAAATGTTCGAGTGTAATGTAACAAGATTCTTATCACACACCCTGCCGGGATAATTCTAACGACTAATTAATCGAACAGATTCGATGAATGCCAGATTAATTCCTCTTTCGTTTCGACATATTATCACGTCAAAGAACCTATTTGAATCGAGTTGTAAACAAATACAACGAATGTGCACATGATTTATGAGAAATAATTATTTAAAACATTTTTTGTATATCCAGTTTTACTTATGCCCTGTGTATTTATTCGCCCCACACTCAAAATACCGCGGACATAGACCGATTTATTGACAAAGCCATGAGCTTTAATTCATGGTATGAAGTATTAATCAGACCTGAATGGCCAACGAAATCTCATGTCGCGCTCTGCTTTCGCATTTGCTTAAAACACCTTTTTATATAAAATAAGCCCAGTAGCTTTAGGTTTCGTAGAGAAATGCCCCAACGATGCAACGTTGGTGGTAGCTAACAGGCTAGGTCGTGTTGCATGTCGCACAGATATGATCCAAAAACAAGTTGAGACGTAGGTACCGAAAAAAACTAAGGGCAATCAATAAAGAAATATTTCATTTGATACTACTTGAGTGGAGAGTGATTGCAAAAACAAATAAATCGCTGATCATATACTGCCCACTCAAGTTCGCCTAAAAAAGCCGATCCAGTGTGTGCCCTATTACGACAGAAATAGCATTTTTGTAAGTGTCAGGCTTCAGTAATATCAGTGGATTTTTTGCTCTGTTCGAATAGCTTGGCTGTGCAATGTACGAAAATTTACAACAATGTCAGCAGGTTAGCCAGTCCTATCTGTTTGTAATTATAGCTACCTAGGTAGGTAACTATATTATTTATTAGGTAACTATAATTACAAATTGCTATAAAACTATGAGGCTAAATGGAATACCACGTATTTAATGCACGGCCCTACAAAATGGCAGCTTTTTACCTCAAGCTCCATATTACGGTAGTTTTCGACCATTTCTCTCCAGAAGGCGCGAATGCGTTCACAGAGTCCGGCGAGCGGCGTACGGAGCTGCAGTAGGGCATTGGGTAGACGGCACAATATTAAGCAAATTGAGAATACAATTCTCTCAATGAGAGAAGCATTTTCCGATGCTCCCGGCGCTCCATCACGGAGATTTCGGTAGTGTCGAAGCGTGTTGTAAAACTGTAAATTTTTTGGAAGTGTTAGCTCTTATGATCTACCTCTCAAAAGAAACTTTGGAAACCCATCTATTGTTACTGATCTCAGCGGATTAGAAACTCATTGGTAGGATATTTTGTAGTGCACATATTCGAATTATGTCATCTGTGTAATAATAATTGCAACAGAAATCAACGTTAAGCTGCTATAATAATAATAATACCGACTAAATTTATTTGTAGCTATCCCCCGCTAGTGCTTGGTCTCTGCTATTAATATTGCTTTAACAGCTGGTTGCTCATAACTTCGCGCTGCTGATTGGGCGCACGCAATACAACTACAATTTCCGTGGTGGCACGCAATACAAACAACAACAGATATTTGGAGATATATAATGGAAAGGCGTTGTGGAATCTGCTCGGTTTATTCTCATTTACGTAAATTGAAAAGATCTATTTTCAGACATTTACTTGGTAACAATAGACCGGGCTCGGTCTATTAGCGTTAGATACCCCTAAGCCACCTTTGAAGGCAACACATAAATATCAGTGTAAATCAAAAACATTCAAGCTCTTCCGGACTCCTTTTTTCTAGACGAGAACTAATGGGCTAAGATATTTTTTAGTTGACGCATTAACTGACCGCTTTTCTAATGACAGGTCCGAGGAGCAGAACGCGTCCTTCGAAAAGTATTTTGTGGCCTTCATTAGGCACCGAAGCTAACCATGTCAATAATGTAAGACAGAGGAATATCCACGGGATAGCACGGAACCACGCGGACCATGCTACGATAAGAAGTACCAAGATTTCGAATTCTGAGCGCCATATCTGGTACCTGCGATGACGAAAACCAAAAAAGGGGCTATGTTAATCATCTCTACAACCTTAACTTATGCGTATAATTCTACACAAATAGAATAGGTCGTGAACGCGAACTCATGTGTAAATGTGCGAGTTGTCCCTACCATTATGCTTGAAGCAAATCAGGAAGCAAACGAGAACTGTGCTGTGAGCAGAGCTTGCTTAGCATCTACTAACATCTGATACTTACTGTAGTATAATAAACCTATTCGATGGAACACGTAACGTATACATATATACGTTTGTGACTATGCGTTTACGAGTTGTTTTCCTATGACAGGCACTACAGAGCGAGTCCAACCAAAATAAAAAGGATATGAAAAAAAAAGTACAAATATAACGTGATGTAGCTTACCCGATACCGAAAAAAATGGCGAAGAATATTTTGGTTACTAATACTGAAACTAAGTTTCGTTTATTTCCATGGAACCATACTTACAAATAATTTAACCAAGGGCGCACCAGGGCGCAATTGGTGGATGTCAATTTTTAGCTCAACTTATACACCGCCAAACTTAGGCTAGCGTACCCAATTTGCCTCCGCATAAAACGAATCCATAAACCATCTCTGACCAAGATAGCAAGAGAAATAAAAAAAAGTCACTCTCACATTCATAATTTTTTTTTATTAAAACAGTCGGCCTTTGTGAGAAATGGGCCTGGGGAATGCAGTTATATGCGCATATACTTTAAAAATACAGTCTGAATGAATCGAAAATACCAGTACGGGATTACCGGAGTACAAATAAAACATCGTTGATAAGCACGTAACGGGCTTTAAGCCCGATGTGAAGTACATTGGTCATAGTCAATCAACTTCTTGCATCAGGGCCTTGATAACAAATGTGGGTTTAACGGATGCCGGATAACAATGCCATAACTTTTACTTCATCCGAACCACTTGGTCTCAAGTTTTGAATTTCTAAATTTGTAATTGTAGTCCTCAGGTAAATTGAGCATCTTCCACTAGCTAAAAATTATAAATCATCATACAGAACCATAAGGTGTTTATTTTCTACGAAATTCTTAAGCGCTTTTTTTCAAAGCTGGGTCAATAAGTCATAATACAAATACTAATAAAATGATACGTAGCAAAGAACTGAAAAATGTAATTTTTCGGATTCGCTTTAGCGTTTATTAATATCGCATCGTAGTCTACTCACCGCTTCTCGTAGTCCTTATCCACATAATACTTGCAAACGCGGTCAACAGCCCAGAACACTGCGTACTCTTTAATCGCTGGCAAACACCAGTTCATTTCGTCAGAAGCTGCCAGGCAAGCCTGGCACTGTTGATACCCGAGCCGGGTATCTAGCTCTAAGCAGTCATTCACAAAACAGGCGATCACAGTTTACAATTATAGCGGGTTTTCTACTCGCAAACACAGTTTTTTAACAGAGAATCAAATTGGCTAGGTCCACTATGCTAACCACAACCGCCGATAGCGTTGCTGAATATCAGCGTTGCTGATACGGCTGGCGCAACGGCGAGCAGACAGGTCCGACAGCAGTGCGACATTTCTAAATCCACTTACTACAGCTCGATTCGGGAAACAAATATTCTAGATTAAACATTTTATTCATGTTTAAATCCCAATGCTTTTTCGGGTTACTTGTTTGCAAACTATAGAAATAAGAAGCGAACATCTTTGCGCTGTTCCGTTTCGCGATGGCGGCAAAATGCGGCCAGCTTTTGACTGAACAAACAACGCGAATGGTTAGTGGCGCTCACTACGCCATCGGCAGTAATCAGTGCGCAATAAACATTGAACACACGTGCTCAGTAGGACCCAGCATCGGCTTGCTGAGTGGAGATAGCCATCCGGCAGTTGTGCAGGATTTCGAGTTGGAGTGTTGAAGGTGATGGTCTCCGATATGCAGACTTCTCGCAAACGTAAGGCTGAGACTTCTGGTCGAAATGAACATGAGTTCGACGAAAATTCTCAAATGGCACATATGTCATTAGCTGAGTTCATGAAGAAAGGTTTCAGTTCAGACGACGACGACGACACAAAAGCTCAAAGCGGCGCGCGGTCGAAGGTAGCTCAATATTGTATAAAAGTCTGCCTCTCCTGCTAACCGTTAACACGTAGACCTCTTTTGCAGTCCGATTGGTTTCTTCGATATTAAATGTGCATAGTTACTCATGGTAATCACTCGAGAAAAATTACCACCAGTTTAATTAAACTGGTGATAGCCAGCACATTTACACAATCAAGTTCTCACCGATTTCTGAATGGCAATATGCGGTTCGTGGATGTGTCAAAAGGATTGTCGTGCAACAAATATTGGGATATTTAGCTTTATTAACGTCCTATAATGGATTTCATAAAATTTGGATTTACAAACTTAAGTTAAAATTGTATGTGGATGCGTTTAAAAACATCTCATAAGTTGTGAATAGAATTTCATAGCGTAAGCAGTTTGTTGATGCTTTCAGATTCAAATGAATAATTACGATCATAAGAATACTTGCTGACCATTGGCGATGTTATCAGAAAATGCAATCCTGTATATTATTTATCATATCATATGAAATAAATGAAATATCGCAATGTATGCATTTTGATTTAACCAAATAATGCTTTATTTTTAGTATTTTGCTTAATGCTAATATATAGTAGCTCGATTTTATGTAAGAGTGTATTGGAAGATTGTGTATTATTACTCGGCGTATGAGCTGACATGTTACGCTGTCCGCTATACGAACTTCACACAAGTCACTAACAGCATAATAATTCGAGTGCGTTTCAGGCTAAGAAGGAGAAGAAGTTGAGCACTGAGCATGATAGAGATACGTTGTCGGAAGAATCTTCGACGAAGAGAACTACTCAGAAAACTGGAATCAATGGAACCAAAAAGACGAATGGCACAAAGACTTCACAGGTAACCCAAGTAATCGGTAACACTTAGCGGAGAATAGCCCGTGTAGTGCAGTCGCGTTGAGGGTAAAGCTAATAGAAAATGTTAGATAAAACGACCACATGTTAATGCTGATTTTGATGGCTCTATTTTAGGCTGGACGGGGCCAGACAAAAAAACAACGGTTCAAAGTTCTCAAACGACAGCAGGCTACGTTTGCTACATCACACCTTTCGGAAAAGAGCGATAAACACTTAGATGAAAGTGTTGGGCTTCAAGGGACGGATGATGACGATATTGAAGATGTAGAATCTGACGATGAGGTTTGTTTGAACGAGAAGTCATTTCTACATTTTTATATGCTTGATTGCTGTTAGTCCTCTAAATATGTTAAGTATGAAATACAGCAGCATGCTAGAAGCATATTTATGATGATTAATTATGAATCTTTGCGTATCATATTCGTTTTATGGAACCACTATTATAGGTTATTGCCAAACCCCGTGTGTCAGTTGTGCAGGCCGATTCAGAAGATGAGGCTTTGGACCAAATTGAGCTATCGGATATCGGTGAAGATGAACTTATTGATATGGACACGCAGATTGTTACCGAAAAAAAACTGCGCAGTTTTCTCGAGCATCTTCGTAACAAACCTAACACGAACCAGGTAGGCGTCATGATTGCTGATGCCAAGACAATACGTATTTACTATTTTATCACACTCTGATCATTGCTAACATGCTTAGTGTCCTAATCATCTATTTTATACATTTAATCCTGCTGATGATAGTATTTTTTTGTCAGGTTGAAAGCCTTTATATAATTATGTTGAATATAGACTGTATTATGGTATAACATAGTAAGTTTTCCCTGAACCCTTCCTATTGCTTATCTATTTCTAGACATCATTCGAAAACCTCTTTTCTCCCTTCTCTGCAAATCCGCCATAACATCGTGGGAAATTGCACATCAGAATTTAGACTTCGAAGATGGAAATCAGGTTTTAAAAAATGCGTTTTCGATACTTGCCTTATTTTGCCTTTCCGGAGGCCAAAAAGCTGCCGAAACAATACAGCATATATGTACCGTGTGCAGCAAAGTTTCTACAACTGACAAAAACTACTCCAAAATGATCTGTTAGATTTCAATAATAGTATCTCCAAACTGAAGGATGCACTCTGCCTCGGTTGCGCATTTGCAGTCGATGAGAACCGCGTAAGAACACTTTTAAAGGGAGGCAACTGGCAAGCAACTCGTGAATTGGACGAACCGATAGACAGAAATCATAGGACCATCAACAGGCACATTCGATCTACGTTTTTTAATTTAAAAAAAAGACTGCTTGCATGATGAGCTCAAAAGCCGATCGAAAACCAGTTTTTCATCGCCAGACATGAAAGTTTCGGACGAAAATGAGTAAATAAATCGGTCGTGAGACAGGACAAGATCGTGGCATCGTGGAATACATAATATTGCGTGGTCTCGAAATAGAAACTGTCTTCTTGTTAGGTAAAGAAACGGTTTGGACTCACGTTACGACTTGACACATCCTGCGTGTGTTCTATTTAGTTGAACCTCGTAGCGGTTTAAGCTCTCGCTAACGTAGTATTAGAAGTGTGTGGCTAGCCAACGGGGACTTGAGTTTTCGGTAAATTATAACAGTCTAGCATATAGGCTTGAATCAATATATTTTTAATGCATGCACGCTGTTTTGCAGATTAAGCGTCTAACGCAAATGTTCAATGGCGCAGTATGTGAAGCTTCAGGAGACCAGAATAGCGCGAAGCAGAAATACATAATTAAGGGGCAACGACTTTTTAATGCCGTTGTCTCTGCCTGCCTTCAAGACTTGGTTCCGGTTGTGCACAAGGTATGACTTGCTTGGGACCTAATACAAACTGACTTTTGGTGCAGAAAAGATTATTTATTAATAACTATTCAATATTTTAGAAGCTGATATATTTTCATATGACTCTCAATTATGATTAGTATTATTATTATTATTATTGCATGAAAGGAATAACCTAAATTAATGCATTAGTTGGTCTACGAACTATCAACCATACTATTTCCCTTCGCTATTCAGGCCACTTCTGCCATTATTGTTGTTTCCTCTGGTGATTTGGCAATTTGGATTAGAGGACACATTACGATCTATCTGTATAAATGTATATGTGTGTACTGGAAAATTTTATAAAGATAAGCCTAAAGAAAGAAAAAAAGGAAGACAAGCTACGTTATATTTATTCGTTTATTTTAATTAACAGAGTAGAATTTATAATTAGTGTGAAGAATAAGATAATTGATTGACTTCATTATTTGCGCAGGTTATGAAACTCCCGCCACCGTCAGTTCCGAAAGATGGTTCAAAGATGATTGATCCGACCAAAGGTGTGTTTAAAACATTGCTCTCTGGGTTTAATTTACTACAAATTATGGTAGCTAATTTGAATTGAGTAACGTTTCTCATATTAAAAACCCCAGCTATTTCGGCAGAAATGATTAGAGAAATGGAGTCCCCAGAGGCGAGTTCTGTGGAATATAGAGAAACCATAGAAAACATTTATTAAACTTGTGCTTATACCTACAACGAAAAAAAAACTTATATAAAAATAGTTTTAACATCGTAAAAGGAATTAGAATGAACAAGGTAACTTTGGGTCCGGATCTCAGGGCATCTTTGGCGTAAGGTGAAAAACCCCATCACGTTATACATGGCTGATCTGCTCAAGTTGATTGGGTGTATAACTCATCAAAAGTTGCTTCTTTCACTATTGCGACACGTCCTCCTTCTGTTACCATTTGTTCGCTCCAGACCGCAGGTAAGTAAGCGCAACACGGCATAATATTTCTCGTTGTAAATAATGTTACTCGTAAGCTGTATATTAGGTAAACAAAAAAGCATTCGAGCGAAAACTGTTATCAATCGTTTTACCGCTGTTGCCGAATTCGTTTAAAATTTATTGAATTTAAATGCGTACCGATGAGTCAAGACACATGATTTAGTGACAAACTTATTTATACTTTCCGTGGAGCTATCCTCTGAGTTTCCATACTAAATCATCACTGGCCTTGAAATTCTTTTAACCGATTATGCCAAGAAACACCTAGGACGTTTTTTCTGTTTTGGCGCTGGCGATAGTATTACTACATGGCGCCCATAGTGTTTCTATATGTTCGCCTGATGTAAAAGTAGCAGTCACTCTTCGGGTTTACTTGTAACTTTTCAAGAGTTTTCGAAATGCACGAAAAATATAAAGTGGATATGTTACTTTTGGGAACAATCTGTGCGAGTATTATACGAAAAAATTCATGTCTTAGGTGATTGTCAAATGTGGCAATAAAATAGAGCTTCTAACTGAGTGAACTTTTTGATTGCAGATTGAGAAGCGTCTTTTGAAGACTCTGTCGCGTCTGTGGTCCACCGGAGAGGAGAGCGTTCGCATTGTTTCATTTCTGTGTTTAATTCGCCTAATTCGATCCGGAGATGATATTACCTTCCAAGAAGTCCTTAAGGCAATGTACCTCTCATATATAGCCAATTCGAAATTCACTTCTCCTCAGACATGGCCGCTAATTTCGTTTATGCGGAGGAGTTTGGTAGAAGCTTACGCGCTTCGACCGAACGTCGCCTACCAGCATTCCTTCCTCTATATACGGTAAGAGCGGTAAGAGGTTTTGCTCATTAAAGCTCAATAAAACTGCCACTAGAATTAATTTGCATGCTTTATAAGATCCCCAAACTTATTCTCTATTGCTACCTTTGAATTGGTGAAGAATTCGTGGGTATGGGCACACATGTAAAGTAAACAAAGGCAATACTCAATCAGAACACTTTACCTGCACATGTTGTATCAAACGGTCTCCGTTAATTCGCTCTTAACTGCCGTCGATGGCTGTGTTAATGCTGGTGTTGAAATGTAACGAACAACTTTTCAGTCAGCTGGCAATTACATTGCGAACTGCGATGACGGTGAAAAAGAAGGACTCCCACAAAACAGTTTACAACTGGCAATTTGTGCATTCGCTTCTTCTCTGGTGCCATCTGTTGGCCACGATCCGTATAGCAGCGATGCAACCGCTAATTTATCCTGTTGTCCAGGTATCATTTGCTAATAATATTGCCGAATTTGTACGATGCGTCTGGCGAGGTATTTTATTTTTATAGATAGTATTTTTCTTTTATAACTATTGATTAATTACTAAGATAGCCATATTCCAGTAACAGTGTTGCTGCAAAGAAAAGGTCGAGACACTTTAAAAATCACATATTGGTATATCGGTATATAGCATATCCCAAATATAACTAATTCCGTTAAGCAGTAAAAGTTTTGTCTGCAGGTGTCGATTGGGGTACTAAATCTTATGCCAACTGAAAAATATATTCCTCTACGGCTCCATGTGATCCGCGGATTGATAGAACTTTCCACCGATACGCAGACTTTTGTCCCGATAATGCCAATGTTGGTTGCTACACTTAAACAAATTCGCTGGAATAAGAAACCTAAGGTAAGTTCACCAACTTGTACAGCAGAATTGTTGTGATAATAATATCAGGAGCAACAAATCGTGCCCAGGATAATTGTTATATAAAATATCACCACTGTCTTAACGTCGTTGAATGGTCTATGAGGATAATATGCCAACTAATTGAACCTCACATATGAAAACTAGAAAATTATAAATATCTATACTTTAGCACTTAGTAAGCTTAAGTAATGTTTAAATATGTAGCATGTTCGTTTTCTATCTGTCCGCTTAATTAGGTAGCATCGATAAAACCTATGAATCTGTCATGTGCTTTGCGCGTCAGTGATAAGCAGTCTAAGGAAAGCGCGTTTCGAGATGCCGTAATGGAAAGCTTTCAAGATATGGCACTTGGGTATCTTACAGGTCAGTAAATGTTTTTAAATATTGTACCGTTAAGGTGAAAGTTTTATTCAACACAGTTTATTTACCAGTTAATAGTAATTACGTTCATGACAGTGGCTCTCCGTCCTATTCATAGTATTATCATAGGGTGTACATGGAATTAACTGCTAGTTTGAAGTAGCGAGCAGGGCGTTGGACTCAAAATGAAATTTCGATGTCTTAGGTTCGAGCCCCAGTTTAGAAACAGCGATTTTTAGAACGTTCTTAATTTCAGCTGGTTTTGTAGTTAGGTTTGACGAAGATGAATCTGATTATACTTAATACTCGCAATATTTTTGAAGTTCGTCCCTACCTTGCCACAGGCATTTGTGTTCGTTGCAAGGATAGTGGTTTAAGCCCTTAGAAAAAAATATTTAAATCATTATCATATAGTTCATTCATATAATATTATCATAAAGTAATAAAGAATTAACCTAACCAGATTAAATAACGTTAGCCAAGGCCTTAAGCATCATGGGGCGTAGAATGTGACAGACAACTTGGGACATTTGTAACCCTGTATCTTGGGTTCAGTGAAGCATAGATATATGTTATTCACAATGTTTAGTGGAAAATAACCTTACTGGATCATCGAAAGAAATTTCTTAACACAATATAAAATATTGAGTAATCTTCTTTTTTTTTAAATTTATTATTTACTTTGACGAGGCTTGACATAAATACTGGTCTCTAGGTAAGGCCCGTTAATTATCGTTAAGGCCGCTGCGTTGATCAAAATATATCTGGAGTGGTGCACTAATATATAAAATATACATATATTAATGCATAATAAATAGCTGCAAGTTTGGATGCAGTTAAGATATGAATGCATTTACCGCTACACGATCCATTATTATTCTCCGTTCAACAATTCAGTCCCTCACAAAAAATTCATACAAGGTGCGCTAAAGGTCACCGGATGGCTTGAAAAAAGGCTTCCTCACAGATTGAGATTTTTTATTTCTCATCTTTAAATAGCAGGAAAACTGTAAGTCATTACAAAAAAAAAATTGATTTAACTGTACACCTTTATGCGATTCACGTATTTATATGATATTTATATAATAAGCATATTATATAGAGTATTCTGGTATGAGCCTATAAAATAATTGGAATGACTGCCGCAGTGACTGTTGTAGTTATTGCTTTCTAACGTAGTAGAAATATAAAATAATGTGCTAAAAGATGTGTTAAAATTGTTAGAATGCCTGTATTCGGGTTTGAAGTAGAGGGCCTTCAAGACGAGCAGAATGTTCGTAAAGATTCGTCGTATTGTGGTAAAGGCACATAAACTGTCCAGGTTCAGAAATTTGCGCTGTTTATGGTTAAGATGCGTTTTCTGAATAAACGACCTAAAGATAGTTTTGTCGCTTTTGCCCTGGAAATTTCGGTATCACGGATGCTCCTCCTAAAGGTCGATCAATTACGGGAAAAGTTGAAGAAACTATTGCAAAAGCTGAGCAAGACGAATATGTGAACCGCAGTGATACCGTAGAGAAACAAAACGCCGATAAGCAATTTTAAGCCACTTAAAGAATCGACCGGAGTTATGAGCAAAAAAAGTATCGTTTTTTACTATGACAATGTCAGACTAGGCACACCTTTAGTTACCTGGCAGAAATCGATGTTGGATAAGAAATTTCGATGCATCCGCCGTATAGCCTATCAGACGGTCATCTGTTTCGGTCCCTCCAAAACTACATTAATAGTATTAATTTAGTTTTAATGGAGGGATGCGAAAATCACTCCTCTGCCTTTAAAGTCACATGGAGGTGTTTGCATCAGAAGATCTTTGAAGCCTACGCAATAAGGAAGCCACCGACGCAAACAGCATATGAACTGAGCATGTTAAACGCGCTAATGGTCTGGTACCGTGATAAGTGGCACTTTTTAATCGATGTTTACATATCGCTGCACTCTGGGCCCAGCACAGAGATGCTTCCTTGTTAGGCGACCCAACTGTGCCGTTATCAGGGTGGAGAACAGCGAAAAAAATTGTTTATTGTAAGCTACGCTCCGCCTTGCTACCCAGTAGATCGAACAGCTACTGTGAAAGCATATACGCTATCCCAATGGAGCGACATAGGTCTCGTAACACTCTACAGCAACCATGTGCATGGTTCTAATGACTGACATCAAGGTAGTATTAGCCACGCCACTCAATATGCTACACGGAAATGTTTGACAATTTTAAGGCAGCCGCTGACTCGGCGCCCAGGGATCAGGTTATGCTTACGCTGGTTAAGCTGGGAACTGTGCTCAACCTTCTCGCTGCGATTCCACAAGAGAGGAGAATAATTATCGATGAAGGGATGGCCGAAATCCCGCTTTTCAGGCAAACAATCGGTTCAGAGGGTTAACCTAAGCCCATTCGTGTTCTTCATCTTGCTGTAGGGCCCCCCTGGTCAAATAAAACGGTCCAGGAGGTCAACAACTTGATGGCATAAGTGTCGAACAGGTTGTAAGTGCAGCCAGCTTACGCGGCAGTCCCTGACTTTGGGCTGACTGGAAACCTGACCAAGACAAAGGCGATAAGGTTTAAAAGGGAGACTGAACGATGGTACACTGATATTTTGAATCCCGCTGAGTCGTTTCTTGTCTTGTAAATTGGTTTCCGTACTCGGGATTGCTTTTATCCACAAATAGTAGAGGTTTCATATCGCACGTCAGTGACGCAGAAAGCCAGTGCTGGCCGCATTTTGATCAAATCGCCTAACGGCTTGCAACCGCTCTCAGCTTGTACGACCTTAAAGGTAGATCCGACTACTGTATGATACACGCGTTATTTGGAGAGAGATTTTACAATAGAAAACCTCGGATAATTCAATTCCGTCAAAGTCTCCTTTCTCAAAAAAACACATAATGAGCCCAAATCGGCTCACGTACCTCTTAGCCGACTCACCATCACTGTCCGAGGATCCGTGCCGTCTCTTTAAGCCCCCAGCAAAAGAAGTCCCCAAGACAAACATGAGGGCATGGTAATAAAAATTTACAGTGATCGATAAGGATTTTTACAGTTAGGAACAATGAGTGAAACAGCATAACATTTCCACGGGTTTCCACGAGCTTTACGACACACAAGTGATGATTAGTGCTTTAACGAAAGAGATTGTGATAGATATCGTGCTGCTTGTTGTCTCCTGGTACCATCTTGAGGGTATCTAGCAAATCTTTTTAATTAGTTATAAACAGTACAGTGATTTTCTCTTATGTTAGAATAGTTTGTTGTGGACCTGTATAGAGATAGTTTTCAGTATTACCTTTCAGTATTACCGGTGAAAGTTTTTGATAGTGTAACTCAAATACTAATAAAATTTTGTTCAAATCAAATTTGATTTATATTTGAGCTACCAGTATCGCTTGACGCACGGTTACCATTATAGAATTGCCGATTAAGGAAGAGATTTTGTGCAAGTTACTTGCAGGTGAATTAGGTTCTGAATTGAAAATATAATCGCAGTGAATAATAAATGAATTAACACGATTATTAGGAATAACGCTCCTATCGCATGCAAGACGTTTCATTAGATACTTGTCTTTGTTTAGATAAAGTGGTAAGAACAGCTCATAAGAAACCGCCCGGATTTAGATGGCCTATCTTATATATATATATATATATAATGTAACAGAAGAGACGGAATAAGCGCTGGCCTTTGCTGGGCGACGACAAAGCATAGCTAGCTCGTTCCAATATATGCGGCCCACGCAGTATCGGTTATAAAAAACGAATATCGGCATGTCGGCTTATTGCGGAAAATGGGTCTACGACTCCGCGGCCTTAATTAATGGGGCATGGCTTTCCATAACAGTTTATATGGGTACGATGACTTATACAACTTCTTCTTGCAACAACGTGGGTATGTAGTAAGTGTGTAATCTTCTCCAACCGTTTACCATGACGGCTGCCGTTATAAACAAGGCTCTGACCCCATCAATATGTTGCATACTGTCCATACATATTTTCCTGGATCCCACCGCTGCAACTAAAAATGTAGCAGGACGAGATTCGACCGCCGGCGACTAGCGATGATCCGGCGGGCTAAAGGGCACAATGTACCCTCCATTGGTCGGAACCAGTAATACATATATATATATATATATATATATGATAGAACCGGTTATGTCATGAACTATTTGGACTTATTTCAGGTGTAAGTCACCTTATGTCCTTTCCTGAGATAGTGATTGCCACAGTCGTTGAGTTGAAAAGGCTTAAACTTGGCGTCGTAAAGCATCAAACAACGGTAAGCAAGAACTTGCGGATTATCGTAACACTAAAATGGCCTACTAAAAATGTTATAATACGCGGCAGAGCGAAATAACACACAATTGTGTATTTGTTTATCACTGCATAGCTAAAACAGCTATTGGACAAAATCTCTGAGAATAGCCGGTTTATTAACGGAAAACGGGAACAGTCTGGATTGGCGTTAAAGGAACTTGAGAAAATAGCCGCTTATGAACTCCAGCTAAGAGGTATGTTGCAGATAATTTCGAATTTACCAATTTTTCACTACGCACTTATTTGGGCGATCAGTAGCCTAAAGACGTTAGCATAATGTACCAGTTTGCAATAAGAAGTGCTACCCAGCCTTTTGAACCAAGACTCCACTTTCTATGCGTTTTTCATAATTTATATCATGCTTCTCTTTCTGTTGTTCATTTTGCAGGAGAAACACCGTTATGCCTATATCAACAAAAATACCAAAAACTCCGAGAGGAACGAAGACGTGCGGCGAACGAAGATTTTATCGAGAACTATGACAGCGGGGAGGATCAGAAGAACGATAACAAAAAGCAATCAGAAAACAAGAAAAACAAAAATGTAGGTGGTGGAGGATAAATTTAGCTCTACTTGTTCATACAAAAAAAATTGTCGTTTAACGTTAGGCTTAGACCAGTTTATTAAGCTTTGCAGACAATGACATTTGCTTTCATTTTATCTAACACGTCATTTTTCAATGTGACTGGCAGTATGTTTATTTCAAGCGATATGATTACCGGATTAGTTAGGTATTTCATTAACGGCTATAACTGTCGTTGCTTGGGTATCACAGAGAACTAAGGCTGACGACGAAAATGGACAAGTGAAAGGAATCGATGATGAAGATAGTGAAGATTCAGAAGAAGACAAACAGGGAAACCTCGATCCTGATTTGGACACCGAAGAGGAAGGCGATAACGAAATCGGATTTGAAATAGCTGAACAGGATGACGATGACGAGGACTAATGGATAATTATTTACCAGTCATGTGATTATGTAATTTTAATGATTGGGGCTAATGGTTTCGACCAGCCATAATATGTAGTAGAGATTGTAAAGGTGGGGCACAATAAAGCAATTTGAAGTTGGCTAATACATTAATTTCTGTTCCTGTCATTTAGTTCGAGAGTAGATAATTCCTCAAATTGTTGGTTCTTCAACTCAATGTATTCGCGTATTTAGCTGCGGCAGTAATTAGTTGAAAAATCGTTGATAACGTACTAATGCTATTCAAATATTTAAAAGGTTACAGGCTAGTCTGATGAAATGCCGGCGCCACTACGGAAAATACTAAATACGTATGGTGTTTTCACATTTGTACTACTACTACTACAGTACTGCAGTGTTAGATTGTAAAATAAGTGATCAAGCTAATGTGCTAATGATAGTAAAAATGGTAGTCCGCCGACCCAAGGCTTAGAATATGCGGTGGATACAAGAGGATCTTTGCTATGCCTGATCTGACAGAAGAGTGATTATGGAGAAGACTGACTTTTACGTTGTTTATCTTTTTTCTTTCTGAATAATAATGCTCACCTAATGCAAATGGGCCATATACAAGTCCTTGTTGATATCCTTTTTCTCTCGAAAACTTATCTGGGCTCACCCAACGCCGATCCAAAACTAATGTGGCATAACTCTGAGATTACACATATCATTCGATCCAAGCTATTCCATTCGAGCAAGCTATCCATTGCTTGCTCTACTTTATTCTATCGTAGAGACACCACTTTTATTTCACTTTTTTTTTACACCACTTTACTATTTGCGATACCTCTGTATACGAATCTGTCATTGTTGCTACCTATTGTACGATATCTGACGGAATCCTGAGAGACAGAAGTCGTGTTCTTTAATTAGTCTAGGTACCATAGATCCAAAATGCCTAATGATAGTTATATGACATCAAATCATTTTTTTGCCCGATTCATGATGTGTTTGTCAGTCGTGTTTGTTCAGGGGTTGCTTTAAGCAATCCTTGTCAACTTCAAAAGACCGGCTGAAGCGGGCTGCAATCTCCAATTCCAAAGTGCCGTCACTAAACTTGGCAAACCATTTTTAGCAGTTCTTTTTGGAATGAAATTAGTACGTTACACTCCACAAAGTTTTCGTTGTATAAAGTAATCCCAGCGAATGTTGAAATTAACTTTGCCAGGGACATTCATCTTTAAGGCTTCATCTTGAGGTTAAATTCTATTCTGTACATTATGAAATTACAATGGACTTTAGAAAACAACAAGAAAAAAACAATAGAAGAAACACAATTTGTTAGGTAATCAAAGTACACACGTTACAATGTTACGTAATCAAAGTAAACAGACACTGGAAAGATGAAGCGAAAATAGAGACATTTGAAAAACGCTATTACCTTTGCACCAACCTAATATTTTATTACATGCCTCCTTGTTGTATCTACCCTAAAACGTCACTATTTTAGCATATGGTCAACCATTCAGACGATATTCTCCTTTCGTTTTCCTTTCACACTTTCTTTCGTCTTCTTGTTTACTTCTTTGCTATAGATTAATTGCGCTATTAATTGATGTCTACCATTTTCAACAATCTTTTACGTATCTTTAGATTCAATGGAGCATCTGCTTTGAAACTTCCCGATTTTCAATGAAACACGTTACAAAGGTAACTATATTGGAACTATACAAATATAGTTGTGATTTTTAATAGATACTACGGGATCTGATTTTTCTACGCAAGTTATTCTAGTACATGTTGGCTTGTCTCCTGCCTAAAATTTCGAAATTTTTTGCATAACATCGATTTCTGCTGTTCATAGCAATCTTGGTAGCAACTGGAACTATGGAAGTAGTAAGACAGATAATATACAAACTATGTAGGAAAGGGCCATACTGTATGAAGTAAGAATGAATGCGACTTATTATTAAACATCGTATGTTTATCTAACACTACGCTATTTTAAATTTTTTTAAGAGGTCCTTTATTTAGTTACACTAATCGTGTAGTACACGAAGAAATGTATCATTTTAAACGCGATGTGACAAAGGATCTGCGCGATAAACGGTTCAACACTTAGTTTAAACCGTGTGTTACTGCTAACAGAAGCAAAACCTTTGACCACCCATTTTTCAAAAAATCTACAAGATACAACACTTTAAGTGGAACAGATCTTAGTAAGCTGTTTATCGCAACGAGCATGTGTTCATGAGTCTAAAAAAGAAAGCCTGTTTTTTTAGAATCGAACAAAGAGCTCGTGATGCTAGAAAATAATGTGTCGTTTTTGCGATTTGAGAGAAAATAGACTATTATCCAATTTCTTTGCACTGTACGAATCTTCGCCAAAATCAAAATCTTTCTTTGCCTGAAATAAACCTTGCTTTGCCGATTTTTTGTTTTTAAAAATCCGAATGAGATTTCCATATTACAAGTCAAAAGACCCTCAAATGCTTTCAGGCTTAAAGAGCTTAAAAAATCTACCAAAATGACTCAACCCGTCATTTAGATGCACTTGGTTTGGTGGAACGGCTACTTCTTTGGAAAAAAATATCAGTTGTCAATTAAGTAATCCAGATACAGCAATTAGCTTTTTTGAGACATTTTAGCCATTTTAAGCAGTTTAGTTCAGGTAGACTTGTTTATATGTAGTGTAAAAAAGATCCAAAAAAATATCTGTTCATATATCGATATACTCTTAGATGCAACGCATAAGAAAAAAACACGAATTTAGCAGCCGAATTTATACATTATGTTGTATGTGCCAACCAGAGACCGGCGCCGTTTAGGCGTTCTACGGGATTATGTCACATTTATCTATATTCTATTAGTGCTCACTACTTATGTCTGTGTTGTGAAGCATGTCGTTGGGTGTGCATTTTGGTGCAAGCATTAAACTAGCTTCAGCAACTGCTGACCAGTGACAGCATACATGAAACTAATCTCTGGTGGAGTTAAGTTAAATACTGATAGAATATAGCTGGAACTTTGACCCCTTTCTAGAACGGATTGTTCCCACTTCTGTTATCAATTTAAATTTAAGTGAGAATATATTTTGTAAGCTAATAAAAATATATGTGACGATAGGTGTGGGTGGTCATGTATCATGTGTCAATAAGGGCTCCACAATGTGGCACGCTTCGTGGTACGAATTTGTTGTTGTTGTGTGCGAACGCTAGTGTACAACAACAGCAGCAGAGAGTTAGTTCTAAGCGCGGGAGAGGCGGCACCGATCCGTTGCTAACAACTGTTTGAAGCATCAAATTGTAACCGTTGCATTAAACCCAGGGGACATTTCATAACTGTGACTCTAGGAATTTCAAAAACCAATTATAAAGAAAAGGTAACCAACATGTTGTACTCTTGAGACTTGCTCTAGTTCTTTGTCCTCCTAGTGCCCCGTTCGTTTTTTTTTGCTCTTTTTTCAGGTGTACTGTTGTATAAAAAAAAAATACACACATTTGTGGGCCCTTAGATTATGTCTACTGTTACACACCAATTATGTTGATTACATAGAACAACTGTAAGCTCACACGAACGAAGCAGAGTAGACAAAAAAAAAGGCTCGAAGGTGTCCGTTACTGGAGCGCAAGCCATAGCACCGACGAATGGCGGTCGATATTTTGGTTATGTCAAGTAAATTTATTCTGTTGTAATCATTTACAGAAATACAATTGTCGGATATATATTTACTCAAGATCCACGTTCTCAGGATAGGCAACTAAATTTAAACGGTTTTTTAAGTTTGTTAATTATTTTTATCAACCTAATGTAGGCAAATCTCAAAATTACCACCTTCCTTCTAGCGATGTCATCATTTTTAACTATTTATCAACTCTTTACTCGAAAAACCATATTGTGGGTGAGAGTAAAGGCTTTATTTTTGAACATAGTTTAATAAGGATCCATTATCGCAAAGGCTAGAAATTTTTTCGACGTGCCTATAACCGGCGCTATGTTATATACATATACATTTTTCGTACATTTAACTTATGCAATATAGTACTCTGTATAATTTAACGGGAATTATAATAGGCAAAAGTTCTCTGGTAGATTAGTAATTCTTGTCGAGTCAATTTAGGACAGTAGGAAAGGACGAGCATAAGCCAATAACTGAAAAATGCACTTTATTTTCGAAAACATAAATATGTTACATACCATCAGTGACTGCGCTGGCACATGCGAACATGTCTTATAAATGTCTTGATCTTTGACATTAACGAGTTTCTGCCATATCACACCCACAAGCCCTGAATAAAATGTTGTTATTGAAAAAGGACTTTTTGTGGATGTTCCATGTACACAAAGCATCTTCACAGGTTATTACCAAAGATTGACTTCTAGGTGCGATTCGTAAAACAGTGACGTCATGTTGGCGAGCTCTGTGGAGAACAAGCGCGCTCAATGCACTGGAAATGGCAATTGTGGTGAACTCCTTAAAGAACTTTGTTCTCAACTAAATGTTCCATTGCCTGAAGACGGCTTCTCCGCTGAGCTTATCGGCGTACTTTTTTCTTCGCTAACATCTATCCAGATTCCAAAAGATCTCTCTCCTTTGGAACTCATCCGTTATGTGTTGCGGATACTCAGTGAAGAGGTGGTACGCGCACCACTGGACCACCTTGATGCCAAGGAGTTGCTTCAGGGACAACCTGAAACAGTTCAGGTATACTTTTTGTTTCAGCTCTTGCACGTACAAACCGCGGTGAGCATATATTGTACGCGAAACAGCCGATATTGCCTTAATTGTGTGCTCTTAACTGCTATATATATATATATATATATGAAAGCTGAATAAAAATTGGCATTCATGTAATGCGTGGGTACTCGAGTAGTAGTATTGTGATTTTAAGGCCTTCTGCTCTTTCTACTATGTAAGCAAGTCTTCGGATTCACTTTTTCGATGTAGCATCAAAGACTTAATCCTGATCCTGCTAGGAAGTCCAGCTAGAGTGAGTCTTACTGGGCTTATCTAGAATTTTTTCATCAGATCCATAAGGCAGCATGACAACCCTAAAATTTAAGCTATGCCCGCATGTCCACGGTTGGCTTAGGGATATATGTATTAGCCGCCCTAACCACATCATTCGAAAGCAATTTGTAAAGTGTTTAAAAATGGCCTTTTAGGATCTGTTGGAGATATTAGCAGCTTGCGTTCACCTTCGTGATAATGAGACTAGTACCATCGTATCTACTATGTCGAGCAATTCAATGGCTAGTAGTGGGAACAGAACCCCCGAAACATCAGGCGAAAGTTTAGTAGGATCGATTCACAGTTTTTCATCATCCTCTACTTCAACATCGTCATCAGCAGATTCTTCATTGAACCGAGGTGGAAAGCGCAAAAATGGTCTTCTTACTTCTTCGATCAGCTGTAGTAGCTGCGATTCGATTTCCTCCGGTAAACTTGTATTCAATTACGGTCCAACACTTTTATAAAAAGGGATTAAGCAATCAATGCATCATTTAATCACATGATTTTTGTTGACAATCATATGAAAAACATATTCTTTTTTACAGATGTGTCTTCTTTTGCCTCAAGTCTTTCGGAGCCAACGCAAGAAGTACAACTTCCGTGTCGGCTGTGTCAATATTTGGCTCGATTTTCATTTGAGCCGGAACTGATCGAACCCACCGCGCCTATTGGTGGCGCTCAGAGTGACTCGGCGCCAACTACGACTGTGCCTGACAATAAATCAGCAGCGGCTTCTACGAGACAATCACCGTCAAAGAAGATCGTTTCATTAACTGGTCCTAGTTGTCCCGCTGTGTCTGCTAAGAATTTACAAGTGTCAAATCCCATTGTGAAAGCTAAAACAAGCACGGCCCAAGTCAGTCGACCTTCAAAGATTCTTCGTTCAAACTATCAGAGCATTACAAAACATGGTGTAAAAGCAGCTACTGCTGATGGCCGACATGAAATGAGGCAAATAGCTCAGGCTGCCAAGCGCAAATTTGATGAAGAGAAAAAGGTGCTAACTACAACAGCTAAACCTTACAACAAGACCGTGAAAGTTTTTAAGAAAAACGTTATTATACCTAATAGGCAAACAACTCTACGACCCGTACCAATGGTTCCGCCTGATCCAGCCTACTCATTTAGTACTTTTAGCGCTCCAACAGGTTGCATTGACAATAACGATGTAGACAATGAAGAGTCTGCTGTCGCCGAATCTTCGGAAATTTCGCCTCACTTGGAACGAGTACTTCGCAAACAGTGCAGCCAGCATCTGCAATGGATGGTGTCGCATGGGACAAGTGAAGCGGGGCTCAAAAAGCTAGAAAGGGAATATGAGGATCTGTTGAAAAGGCACACCACTCGCGTCAAACAGATTCGTAAGGAGCTCTGTGAACAAGCTCGACTATCTGCTCTTAGTACGCAGAAAGGTACAAAGAAAAGGAAACGTTTTTTCTTTTTATTTTTGGATTATCTAAAGTACAGGCATTTTTATGATATATTTCAGTTAAATATGCCTCATGTTCTCATTTCTTGGTTTGCTTTTTGTCGTGTATTTCAGGAGTGGCTGCGAGCGTGCGGAATATACGAAAATTTGCACGTACTCAGGAACAGCAATTAGCACATGCTCAGTTAGAAATAGAACGTGTAGAACGCTCAAAGGAGGCTCGCCGAAGGTTGGCAGAAGAACGTCTATTACGCGAGACCTTCACTGAAGCAATGCGGTTGCAAAAAAGCCAATTGCTCGATTTGAACCGAGAGTTAGCAGAACAACGGGGACGAGAAAGGGACAGACATGAAATTTATATGCAGGTTAATTTTTCATTATACACACAAGCTCATATTGCTGAGACATACATATCGATCTAATGTTATGCGAAGTTAAACAACGAAATTGGGAAAATGGCAACGTACAGAAACAAGCTTTATGTAATTACTATTTTAACATGTGTTCATCTAAACATGATTTTCACAGGGAATGGAGCACTTCTATAGAACCCAGTTGAATATGTTACAAGATGCTTTAGAACGAGAAGCGCGTAATGGCCGTATGCGTACTGGGGCTCAAATAGCGTTGCTGAGAGATATCCGAAAAGAACTGCAGTTGAAACTTGATGAAGAAATGAAGAACCTCAGGGAGATCGCTAGTATGGATTTTGATCAACCCTTCAGTAGCTAGTCTTGTGTAATATGATTTTCGTATATAGTCGAAACGCCAAGATGCTAATGGAAACAGCCGTTTTTGCTAATTTTTGGTCCATCAATCATTACGTAATAAATTCTATCCTAATACATACACGTGCCTCGACCCTAATACGTACACATACCTTGAAATGGTAAAAGGCATTAAATGATGTGTTTACTCATAGTTCGGCTTGTAGATAGTCATTTTCGACAAGCTAATCGAGGGCGTGACATTTGTATTTAAACTAAAAACGTATGCATATACATGTAAAATGTTAGATTTCAATTGTTGCTGTTTTTATATAAATATACGATCGTATAGATACCCGATATGATATCAGACCTCGGTAGTTCTTAAATGTACATTTGCATCCAGGTCAGAAAGATAAAATGCTAAACCCTTTAACAGTACTTTCTTTTAGCTAGGTTCGCTGATAATAGTCGTATCTGATTTTTAAGGGACACTACGCGTAGTTGATCTTCGTGAAAAGTAAGCAAGCGCATATTGTTCAATAGTCCAACGCACGTTAACTTAGCATGAGACGAAATAAAGGTCTTGACGCACGAATCAGTGCCTATGAGTTATTGTTAATAGTAATGATAATAGTAATAATTATTAGTTCCGTAATTTTCCAAATGCCACTTGCGAGCTATCCGCTCAATTCATTTCCACATACTGGCATGGATGCTCGTGCTTACAGAAAAATAAAGGGTTCAATTGATCTTATTTATAATGGGTACAAAATCTGTGTGCCTAACTACACTTGCGACCTCTCTATAATATAACGCCACTTTTCTGTAGAAATAGAGAGTTATCCAAGTCGATTTTAGGACTATCTGCTCGCATCATTGCTTTGGTTTGGCGTACCAATACTGTGAGTCTTGATAATCCAATACTGCAGTAAATACGCGTAATACAACACAAATATACATCTATCATTAATTAGGAAATGCATCATTACTGTATTTTTGCGTCGGCAGCGCAAGAACATCTGTGAAAATTTGCACTTGCGCTAAGTTGTATGTCTTTATATCTATATATGGCTTCTTTTTGCGCAAAATAAGATAGAACGTCGACGTACGACAGCTAATGATCAGTCTTCTGCAATCGCTAATGTGCAGCAAGCTCCTTCATCAAAGTGATTTTTGGTTTCAGTTGTTGTCTTGAGTAACAATGCATTGACGCAGAATAACAACAATAACGGCAGCCGCAGCAGCGAGTCGTTGCGCTGCCGTTATTACAGTTACGTGGGCATCAAGTATTGGCATTGCTCCCGCACTATTCACTTCGTTGACGGGTTCTGCTACCTCACAGGCGCTGTTTCGCTGTAGGAGCGGTATAACGGTATTTCATGAACATGTTGATATTCTCTTTACGCGTTGCAAGCTTCGCACACTTTTGCTGGATTCGCTCTTGCCCTTATGCCCTACTCTTTCTCTGCGTGTGTGGTTTTGCTGTTTGGAAGCGCCCGGCTCCTGGGCACCGGTTCCCGCGACAGTTCGGACCTTCTCAGCGTCGATGAGCGGCGCGCACTAGAGTGGCCCTGTAGACCGCCTGTGTTTGCGTGTTTGTGGCGTGTTTCGCGTCGTTTACGTGTTTAATTTTTGTAGTTTTACGTACATATATGTGCTGGTATGCTAGTCTTATTCTGTATGTACGTACGTGATTTACTCGGCGTTGTGTCATACCGTCGTTATCGTATGGCTATGTTGTATTCACTGACTATTGCTTGTGTATCTATACATCTCTATCTATTCAACTAGTTAACTCTTTTTGCATATAAGTGTTTCCCAGTAGAGTATTTTTACATAGCAATTATTTCGTTGGCAAATGTTTTACCTGGATTTATCGCTAAGTGCGTAAGTTGTTTCAAAGTGTCGCACTTCTTGATACTCAACAACAATAATAGCAGCTGTGTGCGGCTATTGCATTGACTGATCGAAAGACGTACTGTTAAACGTGGGGAAAACTAAGCCACGTAATACGAAATATACAATAATTCATGTAGTGTCTCGTTCCGAGCTGCGTCCTTGTCTGTTATTGGTTTGTCTATTCGTTCTGTCCTCTGGTCTCGGGCCACCAAACATTATAGTGCCATCTATGCCAAAACGGATGTACTCGAGCGCTCACCGAGTGCGATATAAGCAGTAAGGATAAAAAGTGGCGAAATCATCATACATGCTACAACTGTATGTTATAAGGACTACGAAGTGGTCCAATTCACTCAGTCTGATTTGATACTGTCGCAACGTTTTCTCTAAATACAATTTCAAACGTTGTTCGGATTAAACATGTGGTGTGCAATGTGGTCATCTTTGTGTGTGGAGGCTTAAGTGACTATTAATGCCATTGAATTTCTATAGGATAATTACGAACGCTATCTTGTGACTCTCACCGAAACGACCATGCTTCAGATGGATGGTGAGTACAGTGATGAAGGCTGGTTTAGCTTCCTGAAGGAATTTACAGCTTTCCCCAAGATACAACCCACACTAATAATTACTCAGCTCGTACTCACTTTTTCTGTTACTGCTACGACCTGTCACGACAATACGAAAATCCGAATGATAGCATTTCGTTTGATATGTTAAGTGATTTCTGAAAGCTCGCAAAAAATAATATTCAATGCAGAAAATACGACTAATTCATTATAACTGTGTGCTGCTGAAGGTGTAATTGGGTTCGTTTTTTTCTGCGAGATCGAGAGGCAAAAACACAGGTTCTCACAGGATAGTCAGAGGGAGCTTAAGCTGCCCCCGTACCGTGCGTATGCTACGAAATGTTACAACGTAGCCAATATGAATAGTTCCTTATTTACATAAATTAAAGCGATATCGCCTATAAACATTTTCGTTATCATTGTGCCGCCTATATCCGCGCTAAAATTATTCCCCGTACCACAAAATAATTCCCATAGACGAATCAATTCAGCTCATCAAAAAGATTCAAAAGTCAGACATTTATAATAAAAATTTCGATTCTGCAATGCAAGACCTTATGTATGATATTTAAATATTTCTTTCTGAAAATAGTAGGATCCGATTCTCGTACCTTATCAGCCCTGTTTTTTCTAAAAAGTGTTTTAAAGTAATGTATATAACTATAATCGAATCTCCGAGCATTTCAAGATCAGACAGTCAAGTAGCGCATGGCGCAAATGAGTACCCCTATCTCTCTCTCATCTCTCCTATTATGTTTGTAGCTAGACAATCCTGGTCATCCATCGTTTTTGTTTGAAAGGTGAGTGATCATATTATTTGCATAACGCAAGTCGTATGTACGCTCCTACAGTAAAAAATCAATACTTATAAATAGATAGGCTGATATATTCCTAAAAGCGTCCTAAAAGCAGATAGTTTAGTGTATGCAGGTGGATGCAACTTAATTTGACGGTCCTTGATTCTTTAACTTGTCGGTAAGAAAGCTCTCGTATCCATCTTTTCATCATCATCGAAGTGATCGTCGTGTCTACGATGGGTTCAATGCACCCTTACCGGCTACCAACTGCCAATGCTGACGGCGACGGACAACGCGTGAACGAGCAGCCCCGCTGCAGCTACCGTAGAAGTACTTGTAGTAGCCGTAACAACAAGAACGGGCCATCGAATAACCGAGACGAAGACGAGGAAGAAAGCGGAGGAGAGGAAAAGCAGGGAATAGTGAATCGGGGGAAAGGCACAGAGCAGTGGCGGCAGCGCTGACGATGATGCCGAATCGGTGCTGCTCTACAACAATCACTAGAACTTTCGCCTTCTTTTCGCGCGGTCGACGTTTTCGTCTTGTTCTCCCCTTGTACGTCTCCCACCTGCCTGTGGGTTTGTCCCTGGTGGTTCAATCATCGCCATTACAATTACAGTCAGCGTCACCAAAACGAGTAACAGCAAAAGCAGTTGTTGGATCGTGATTATTTTTGCTGCAGCTTTCGGCCGGTCATTGCGGCGTCAGTCAGTTGATGCAATGGTTGAAGGGGGCAAAAGGACCAGCTGATGATGCTCAGTTGGCTTTGCCGAAGAAGCCCAGTCTTCTATAAATCATCTACTTCAATTCTTTTTCTACTTTTTCAGTAGCAACGGCGCCTTTCATAGTTGTTATTAATTTTTTTTACTTAGGCGCCTGTCTTCGTTGTTACCCGATGTTGATATCGATGACGATTATGCTGAGGGAGCAATATTATTGGCGCGAACTGCGGTTTGTGCAGCATTTGCATCTGTTGGGAAAAGCCAAAAAGAACATCTGGCAGTGCCCTTGCCGTTAGACGGACTGTTATGAACGGAAAGGAGCAGTATTCTTTGAAGGTTCCTCAGGGGCTGGCGGAAGTTCTGATAAATGAACAAAACAATCATAATGACAGCAGCAGCCACAGCAAACATAAGGACGGTTGCAATAGTGGGAAATAGTTAACTTCCACGACGCCAGATTTGACCGATATCTGCCGAAAAACGAAGAAATGCTATAAGGCCTCAGCAGACAGGGGTTTCTCTTTACAAAAACCAATTAATAGGTACTCAGAAAGAACAGGCCATCTGGAAAGTACTAGATAATATAATTATTATAGGTGGCTACATAATATATCTTAAGCAGGACCGAAACAATGAACTGCGTTTTACAATGCCAATACAAAGCAAAGTACTCTAGTGTAAAGTTGTTGCGTTAGATGTGTGAAACGGCACACAGCCGTGAAACAAATAGGGCATATTATGCCTGGATTACGTTTTCAGTAAATCCGGTTGATGATTTTATTTTAAACTCACGCTTCTATGGACTTCTCATGCGTTCCTTCAGAGACGTTTGTATACTTGCATTTGTCAGGTAACGGTGTACTGCATTACTACGTTTTTTTTCCTTATGTTGCTTTGTAGCCTGCTGTATCTCTATATTGGTTTTAATGAAACGACTATTACAACATGACAATCCATAAGCGCGCCATTACAAACGTTTTTGAAAACGCTTTTCTAATAATCTTGATTAATTTTAATAACTTTCTTGGCACTAGAGCAAACCAAAATCTCAGCAAACTCTAATAATATAAAAGCCAAATAAGCTGCGGCTATCTGTTTCACTGACGGGAGAGTCCAATTAGATTTTTTGACCAATATCTGTTAGAATTTTTTTGCCCGACGTCAGCTTCATGTTTCTTTCAGGGCTAAAATCACCAGTATCCTCCCAAGTTTCCCTCGCGGTAGAAACAATGCAAGCAGTCAAACTAATTGAATTTTATTTAATATTTGCTAGTAGCAGTTACAAACTTCATAAATACGGGTCAACAACACAATTTCAATATTGTAGTGAGTATATAGAAGCATTTAAATCATATGGATTATGTGAGTCACTTTATAAAAGTCATAGAACTAATTAAATTAGACGCAATACTGTGGTGCCTTCTCCTTTGCCAGTGCAGTGAGAAACCCGCAAATGGCTGCAAGAAAAGCACTCGTTACTGAGGGCTATTAGCTGAACATATCGCCTACGCGCAGTCAGTTGGCCGGTCAAACACCGACGCAAGTTCAACGAACGTTCCACAAAGTCAATCGTCTGCCCTCTCTTCTCCTCGCCTACCCTTGCTTCGATTCTGCCTGTCTGTTGATTCGTCTGGCGCCGGCCGATGCCCCCTTCTGCCTTTGTTTACGTATTGCTTTTGCCACTTGTGCTCATGTTTGCGCCAGCCAGCCAGCCAGCCCCGTTAAAGAACGGCGTTAATGTTGAGCGGCGCAACGAACGCAGAAAGTGAGCATTGGCCTAACAGCACAGGAGTCACACGCACTTATAAAGAAGCTTTGGCAATGAAGCATTGAACCAGATGCCATAGAGTCCGATATAAAAGCTACTGAAGGCTCGTAGGTATGACGACGGCTTCGTTGCAGTCGTCACTATGACGGCTATTCAGTGACCGTCCCCACCGTCTGTTCATTGCTGGGGGCATTGCTCCCAATATTACTCGTCTAAAGGGACCACTGTTTGCTGCCCGTGCAATTGCGGGGGCAATAATGGCCCAGCTAGATACAACGTAGGATCAGCACACCATCACTGGCTTCACTGTCGCATTCGGAGGGGAAAAGCTGGACAATGAACAACAATACAACGACAAAAAATGAAGGAGAAAAATTGTTCCTATTTCTAGCCTCCTTTTAGTATTATCATCATCGTCATTATTATTATTGTTTCTATCATGGTAAATTTTATCAATTATTGAAAGATTCGTGGCGACTATAATACATATCGTGGTCCTATAATGATTATTATTATACATGCATATGTTTATAGTGTAATAATTTGTGGCTGCCATGTTTATTTTTACCGGATTAAACTTATTTTTTTTAATGTTATAGTGAAAGAAGTGGAATATACAAACCGGATCATACTGGTCATGGTGATCATAAAAATAAAATCGGATACTTCAGGTTTATTGTGGTATAGTAAATTGACCGTAGGACACATTGGATTAAGATTGATTTCTCAAGAAAGTGTCCCTTCTAAAAAGCCTGCTGACCAGGGTTGCTATAATGTAATACAACATTGGAATTGATATATCATTGAGCATGGCTTCAGGCGTTTTCGTCTATTGTCTTTTGATTCAAACCCGAAAGAACTGGTGGATTGGGTCTGTTGTGTTATTATCGAGCAAAAGGTTAGGATTACTACTTCACTAAGTTATTCCACTATTACTGAATAAAGATATAAGACTACCTGCTTATAAATAATATTCCTATTATTCAAAATGTCCAGCGAAATGTTATGTGTTATTATTATCAAAATAAGTTGTTTCGGCTTTTACGTGAAAGCACCAAATTGTGAAGCATCGACAACTGTCTTTATCTCTAGGTCCCTTTTCAAACAACGGATAAATAACAAGTGTTTATGCCACTGTTATAGTTACCGAGAACATCTTCTGTCCTACGAAGAATTAGCCCTCTACCCCTATGGACAGAGCCTGTTAATGACAGGGGCAATCAGCAAGACATTTTATGTTGATCTATACGACTAAAGAAGCCGGGAAGTGGTTGCGATAGTTATGTAACTCACTGAGTAGGTTCTGAGTAAGTACAAGTGGACTTGGTTTAAATATATAACGCCTTTTTGTTCTCAAACGAATGCAGTAGCCTTTTATCTTCAATGGAACTAATGTATATATATTTGCTATTTCACTGGTTCATAGTTCGAGCCAACAAATATCTCTAGAATCCACCGAAATGAGGAAAATGCTATTTACTTTATCATTGCAAGAGTTGATATCTAAAAATCGATTCTGACAATAAAACCTGCACTAGTCCTAACAAACAGTTGTTAGGAAATATTTTCATCAATGCTGTTTCTGCATTTTATATAGTAAAAACTTATGTTGGAAATTGAAGACGAAGTATCAATTACATACATGAATCATTTGATAAAAATGAATACATGTCTATAGTTCTTGTGTTTATATTACCAAACGTCAGTCCATCTAGTTATCGTCTTTGGTTTCGAAAAACGCAGGTCATTTGCCGCAATAAACATAACTGGACCTCGGTATAGAGTATATGCAATGTTGACACGAGGTCCATGTTTGTTGTAAGGAGAAAGTTAAAATGATATCATAGAACCAAGTTATAGATCAACAGAAATGGTTATATTTAAGAATCGTCATTATAGAGGTCTTAAAACTACCGTACAAAGATATAGTAGTAATGGAATAATAGTTCTCAGTGTTTTCATCAAGCTTGAGGACGTGTCAATTTCTGTTCTCGAATAAACATCGCTAGGTCTATTACGCCAATCTAGGAAGTAAATACAAAATGGCCAAAATAACCATTGCTGAGTGGGTTTAAACATACTGCGCAGCGTCTTGAGCAGTCAACACTCTAGCATTCATTATTGTATGCCTGCAAACACTAGCAAAGTGATCCTTTTAAGCGACAACAATGTATAGCCTACAATAAAATGCCAGAAAGATGAGCCTTGATTTACATTTATTCTCTTTCCAAATAGCATTTAGTCTCACTGAGTTCGTCAAATCATCTTTTCTAGAAAGACAACTGTTGTATTGGCGCAGTGAATAGTGAAGTAACGGTAACACCCACCGATGATAAATAAGTCCGTAAAGAGAATGTTCATTGTAAACATTTCTGGAACCGCGAAAAAAAAAAATTAGATTATCAAATAGAAAAGCGAGATACAAAAATATTCTAAGAAAAACATTGCAATTACGCTCGTTACGCAGATATTTTTGTTGGTACAGGAGCGATGCTCAAAAGGTGTATTATTCAGCTTAGTAGTATGCAAACGTAGCTGAGAAAAGTATTTGAAAGAACACTTCGAAAAATAACAACCTTTAAAATGATTATTGATTGTATAATCTTTAACTTATAGAGTTATAGACTTATATGTGCCAGTAGTATATATATATATATATCGTGTGAGTAAATAAAAACAACAGTAAAAACACTTGAACATTTTTCAATAAACCATAAATTCTGTAGACATCCTTACGATGTGATCATATAACTTCCTTTCGAAAACAGATTTAAATTGCATTACATTGTCGCAGCTAGAACATTATAACTACAAACCAAGATAATGACTTCTGGAATCTTCTTTTATGGAACCCTTTAATGCGAGGTAATTTTTGTGACACTATATATTTTCACTGAATTCACCAAAGCCGTCGGTTTTGCTATACCTGGGATATGTGTATACAAGGTATTTGTTTTAACCGACATTATCTCAAACCCTGTCCGAACTTTAAATAGAGCTATAGTATCTTTAAAAGAAATATTGTTTTATTTTTCTTGCGAATGATGTCTTAGGCTCTGTATCCGTTTTATCGAAAAACAAGTATGATCATCTACATATAACGAAACGACACTCAAAGGTTTTAACAGGACGTGGTTTCGAAGGCTACACGTAAAGTTAAGTGCGGCAACATAATCATCTCAATCAGATTCTATTTATTCACCTTTGCTGATGGTAGTCAAAAACTTCATATATTCATTTATTCACACGTAACTTTATAACTGAAACATTTTACGTCATATGGGCTATATAAGTTGTGTTGGACTGATAAAACTAATTTGAGAAATTTGTCAGATGTCCTAAAGATGGCGCTAGGTGGGCACAAGCGACGATTTTCCCTGCATTTGAGGCTCCTATGTGTATCGTCAGGCTCGTAGAAATTCAATTTCCTGCAGAGTTTATGATAAAAAAAACCATACACGGCAGAGCGAGTGACGACATGTTCATCTAGCCAATTCGTCCTTGACCACTCGTTGTTTCTCATCGCACCCGAAGCAAAGGAATTTCCACCAGTCCCTGTAAATTGTTGCTCCCAATTGCTGATGTATGTCTTGATTGCTGGAAGTTTAAAACGACAACGTAAGTTTTCGAATAGAAGTGGCAAGGAAGTATGTCAGGTGATTTCGTATCACAATGTGTAGTTGCCGTACTCTTTTGAAGACGAAGACTCTCACACGATTCAATTGCTCGAGATTTTCCACTGTAAGATCTTCCGAAATAATGCGTATTCCACACGTTATGATGGGACCTATATTGAGTCTGAATAAACTGATAGCGAATACAAAGAATAAGAAATAAGGCGATTTATGCAACCAACACTAGTTTCGGTGATCCACGCAGTGAAATCTTCGCCGTTCGCGGGTAAAAACAACCCTAGGTACCTAAACCGATTTACACAAGCACGAAGCGACCCGATGAGGTATAAGATGTTAGTACCGACTGTGCTGTCTCCCTTTCAAAAGTTAATTGGCTCCGTCTTGGTCTGGCTCACGGCCAGTTTGTCATCATAGAGATGGGCTAGAACTTGCTGTATTTGCAACAAGTATATCATTAAGTCGCCTACGTACAAAATGACTTCGACTGATTTTAAAAGGGCCCTTTGCCTGAATGGATAATAAGAGTGGATTTAGGTTGTCCTTCTGAGCCTGTCTGAAAGGTGGGAATCCGGCCACCCTATGATTGATAGTTATTCTATTTTTCTGTAAAATCTCACCAAAAAGGTTAATCACATTCGTAGGAATACCCACTTCGGCTAGCGTCAGTATGACTTTGTTTCTACGCGCCTAGTTAAAGGCTGCATTGATGTCGATAGAAATTGTGTATAGCGTATTAAGCGGCGTGGCCAGTGCTCTCTTTACGCCAGTTATCAGGATCCTACACACCGTTTATATGGAGCGTTTACTCTGGAAACCATGTTGCTCGGTTGGAATGCCATGTACACTTTTTAAGAAGGTGTTTAGTTTTTAGTCACAAAGCCGTAAAGTAAATTATCACGAAGGCTTTTCTCCGCTATTTCCCGCCGTGATAATGGTGCGGGCCGCCTTTTCCTTTCACTAACAGATAGCATCTTTTTACCGGGCTGAGAGTGCACCAGTATGTAAATTTACAGTATTTATTGAGCCACCCTGCCACCCAGCACGGTGCTAGAACATAGGCGTTACTTAAAACGCTCGTTTTAGATTTTATCTAAATTGGCGGCTTTCTTGTTGCGTAGGCTTCTAAGAGTTGCATTGGTTTTCACACTGTGAAGTCTTGTTGAAGCGTAGCACGTTATATTGAGATCCTTTCTTCCCACGCAGCGGTAAACAATGGTCCGACGCGTAATACCACATATATTAGCGCAAACATCTCCGAGAAGTGACTTATGAGGGCCGGCAGCTATTCGAGAAAGCCACTGAATCGGCGCAGTGCGTTAGCATTCCGGTTAACATTCTGCACGGGCAATTAAACGGATCTTCAGCCGTTTAGAATACTTTTGTGACACGTACATTTTTTCGGCTAATAGTCTTAAAAAAGAAGATCAAAGGGTAGAGCTTGGGCTAAATCTCGGCCATAAGCCTAAGGGCTACCTGAGCTCTCCGGGTAAGGCTGCAAGCTAAATTGAACTATTATATTCGAAGGGGACAGAAAAGCCGATCTATAGATTGGAAAATTTCAACCAGATGCTGCTTTTAAGTTTCGGTATTCACCACGTCAGGTGGATGCGTTCTAGAAGTTAGTCTACATCGCGGCGACGCCACGTGGCGTCATACATTCCGTGCAGGTGCGACTTGGACAGTCTATCGCTGTCCCAGCGCCAAAGTCTGCCACCTCTGAGAGAGCACGATTTTCACCCTGGAACTTTATGCTATTCCTGGTTGCATTTGTTGCAATTAAATCGACAACCGAGCTTGCTGCATGTCTTAGGGAAATCGATGTCGAGGTTCACTAACCAAAGCCCGCGAGTGTTTCTTGAAGAGCCGTTATGGAAGAGCCGTTATGCGTTTCAAGTTCCGCTGACCGTTGACGTCACTAGCAATGAGCAGAAAAACGCAGAACGAGAAGATAGCGCTTCCAGTCTACTATTGAACTTCTGCACCGGTCGATTTTGAATAAACCAGCCGAACATAAGCTACCATGAGGGGTAGTCGCTGGCTACGTATGGCAATAATATTATTATCCATTAGGCACTGCATTAAATCGTCTATCCTATGGTTGTAGGTGACGGTAATGCCTCTACTAGAGTGGCCTGTTTTGATATTTTTCATTGCCAGGCAATGCATAGAATAAAAACACAGTAAGTTAAAGGGACTAGCTGCCCAAGTCTTTATTAGTACGAGGATGTATGTCTATACTGTACAGGGCTTACGGGGAGAGAGGTGGCGGAGTCGAAGCTCATTTAACGTTCCACTGTGTAATTCCTACCACCTCCTCAGAGTTCTGCTTCGCTGCAAGCTTCGTGATGGTCAGTTCAGTTCTGCGTACTAGATACTTTCTCTTATATTACGATATTGTGTTGTTGACCTGTATATATGAAATTTTTCACTATTACCAACAAAGGTGGATACATAAAATGCTGTCGAATGATCAACTCTGTAGCAATGTGGGAGATCTATAAAGCAATAAGCGCGCTTTGTTGATGTCGCTTTATAATCGCTTATACCGTAAGGTAAAATCCATTGGCGCAAGATCCAAAAAATGGAGAGCGAAACCACCCATTCGAAGTCCAGGGTCGCAATTTTGACAATGTCTGCCGTGTTTGGCCTCGCGTTGTTGTGGATGATCTAACGTCGTTCGTTGGGCCTTTCTTTTAGATAGCTTCATTGACTTGAAGTAACTGGGCCGCATAAACATACCGATTAACCGTTTGGCTCTTTCGGAGGGAATTCTTAGTGCATGAAGTTCCCGTAGCTCCACAAAGCGCAAAGAATTATCTTTTTTTAGATGAACACCTAGTGGAAATCTGGGCCTTGGCTTTTTCCCAGGGTCACCTGTTCCGATCTCTAGTTTATGCTGATGTACAAACACTACTTCTCATCACTGGTAACAAATCTGGGTAAAAACAGACCGCGCTAGGCGTGATAAAGGCGAAGTGCTTAGATGCGACGCCAAGTCCAAATTTCTTGTTGGATTTGGAGAGTTCACAAAATACCCAATCTGTAAGTTTTTGCGTAGACCCAACAACAGGAAAATAGACTTAAGGTAGGTAAGGATGTTGTATGATAGGTCGCAGCCCTTCCCTTCAGCCAGTTTTTGAGTTCTTTGTTTTTCCTTAAAAATCATGTCAGATGATTGTCGTCAAACACAGATGGTTGTCCAGGGTGGAGGCATCCTTCAGGTCCCGAATGCCGTTTTCAAATTTAGCAATTTATTTTACATTTACATTTTAAACAGACCTTTTAGCGATCATGCCGTATATAAGGCAAATATCCCGGGCTGTTTTAGCGTTTTAGCCTGGACGAAACGCATTGTACAAAGGGTTTCGAAACTGCACTTTTTCTACATGGAATATCCACCATTGAGAAATTCTGCTCTTTCTATATCTTTGAGGAACTGCATGCACAACAAAATATTGTTACAATAAGCTGATGAGACAGAGATCGCTTTCAAACAATATATCGGAATGAGCAACAAACAAGGGGAATGGAAGGGAATTTTAATTTCAGTCTACTATGTTACATACTGCTAACGCTGTATGGTATTATAACACAGCATTCGAAAAATGCTATTAGGATGCCTTTGTGGTACAGCTGAATCATCGCAATCATTGGCGATTTTTCTGTCAGAAGTCTGCTAGTGCCTGGTAGTGATCCAGGACCTCGAACACAATTGGCCGACTGGAGATGTATGCCACAAACGCTCGAGTTACCGTCACTGTGATCTGTTTGTTGTGAACACAAACGTTAAACGAAAACGGTCAATGAAGCTTCAGGTTAAGACATTTTTTCTCGGTGGTGAATTCCGTAAGCTGCTTCGTCTCCTTTACTAGCCATTTATGTCTACTAATAATAAACGTCTTACGCTTAAGTAGCCCTAGGTTTATCTAGATGTAAATATATCATTAGTGCCATTAGAAAGCAGTACTACATGTTAGTCCAAGATCAGCATATTTTAGGGTCGCTCCGATATGAGTGTTTGAAACAAGTGCCGGCAAATGGTTACCTCTATCATCTCAGAGTAGATCTGGGTTGACGAACTTACATTCTGTACGTGAAAGAAACCAGGTGGTGGACCTTTAGCTGTATTTTTGAGAGGCTCTGTCGAAAACGCCTAAGGTGCGGGAAGCTGCAAAGACGAATACAGAGAGAAATAAAAAGTTTCAAATAAAGTAAAAGCCATATTGAATCGCGTCAACAAACCGCAATTATTAAGGCAGTACAAAAAAATACAGCATAATGGTACACTCGAGCATTGTTTTTAGATGGTCAGATTATAACAGTTTCATAGGTAGGTAATGGATCTAGAAAGTGCCGTGTTCGCCAGATGGGTGTCAGAAATGTCACACGCTTCTTCTAAGATGAATGAAACTCTTTTACCGTTTCATTAATTTAATCGACGTTTCGGTGATTCCAAATCAGAGTTTTGGCCTTACCGCTAGTCATAATAGAATATTTTTAAACCGTTTCTTTTTGGAACTGAGATCTAGGGTTTGATGAACATCGGTTATTTTTAAATTACTTCCAAGGAAAAGATGAATGCTTGCTTCCTTAATCGAGACAATGTTTCCCACACAGTCACAAATTTCCCAACCTGTTATCAGCAATGTCATTTTTTCTATAGATACCAAGTTCAGGCGGCAAAATAAGTATCGTTGTGTGATAGTCTCATTAAGAGAACTGCTAAATTGGCAGAATTCACTGAGCTCTGTTATGTTCTATTGTGTTTCAAATTTTGAAATACTCTGTATAGTCTTGACGAGCAACAAACATCGCCGGAATCGTGCAACTTTATTATTATTATTGTAAAACTTTCAGTTAATGCGGCGTTGTAAAAACTGATGCACCCCATCACAGCACTTGTTTTGTTTAATACAATGGAAGATGCATCTAATGTAAGACTTCAGCTAGCCTTTAACCCGTTTTATCGCACACTACCTAAGGGTGACACAACAAAGGACTTGTCCGCGTTAATGTTATTATGCCTCGTCCATATTTAGGCCGGCGCATTAACGATGAAGTCATTGTCGTATCATTAGACGTGTGTGATGACACCTGACTACGGGCTGTTTTTTAACGGGCAGTCTTTGGTCACATGACGGCATGCCATGCATGCTGGGCTCTACGATATCCACATTATATATTTACGTAATATTTATATGCAATGGGAAAGACAAAAAAGTTGCTTAAGTACCTAAGGCGAACGTACGAATAATCGTGGATGGTGTGGTAGATATGTAAATAACAAGTTGCATCTGAAGAATTGCTCTTCAAAACAGCGCTCGCACAGCACCTGTGATAATACCGTGTTGCAATCATGTGTGTTAATTTATCAATTTCAAAGATTAGAAAATCGTAAAAATAATAACTTTTTGATAGCGGAAACTTTCTTATCTGTGGCCACAAACGGCAACTGACCACAGGCGTTACCATTCTTTCAAAGACATAATTTATTTATGCACAATAATTTTTCAATATAGTCCATCCAAAATGTTGGGATGGGGCTGAAAGTCGATAGCAGAAAATGACGGCGCTGCTATTAGAACACAGTCGTTGATTTTTATAGTTTGAACCCTCTCGGGAAAATTGTTGTACGGAAAATGTATTCGTTTTTATTGATAATATAAGACAAAAGGGAGAGGTCTCGTGTCCACTTCGATAAATGACAGAGGTGTATGATGTTTTTTTCATTTTGCTAAGTAAATTTAATAGAAATCGTTGTCTATGAATGCTAGCTTCACGACGCACTTCTCACAAAGGCTTCAAGTACAGTTATTGCAGCGAAAAGTCGCCTTTATATCGTTGCGTGGGGGCCACCCGGGAACGCCACGTTTTAGTCGAGGGGTGACAGTTAATTCGTTCGCTTCTTTCATTCAGGGTCTCTACAGGATATATTCGCTATTTTCTCCATATAGAGCTTTGACCGATTTGTATTATATACTACGTATATATACCAGCTGATACATAATAGCCAGCAACAAGTAGGTACGACACAATTTGTGAGAACGAATAAATTTATATGGTGTAGGCTTCATCACGAAATTAAGTTGCAATTTTGGGTCTCAGTAATTTTAATAGGTTTTTATGCTAATGTTACTTCTTAATTCAGTTAACGCTTCTGACTCCACTCTCCCATCGTTGCCTGCTAGTTAATATAGATTTTTGTTGCACCCTAAAAAATAAACGCAGCACTACGTGATGACCTTATTTCATAGGGTACGAACTCTCAATTTTCTCTTATCGAAAACAAGCATTTCGAATTATTGTTAATGTGTGCTTTGACGTTCGATCATAACCGCCGAATGTTCCCAAAAAGGTATTTGCACGCAAGTATCGCTATACAGTTGCAAGAGACAGAGTTTGTGCTTGTGGCGCTTCTTCAAGCTGTGGTTCACTGAGAATTTCTATTCGTGTTTCGTTCTGCAGACTTCTCTTGTCGACTGAGGATGGGCTCCCCTCTCGTTGGAGGCGCAACTGTAGGCATAGCCCCAATGGGTGTTTCCCTGCAGCTTGGTTCAGCAGCGTCCGCATTTCACGCCACGTCCAGTTCACCCCCAGAAGGGGGATGTTCCTCTGCTTCACCGCAGCATTCGTCCGGCAACCTGCCAACAGTCCTCATCACGGCAGCCAACGTTGAGCCGTTTCGTCTAAAGGCACACGCCATCCAACATGCATCTGCTTTCTTCGCTACTGCACCAGCTGCTTCGGCCAATGGTGCATTAGCAAATCTTCAAGGTTTGTCTGTCAAAAACTATTCAGGCTTGTATTTATTTATTAATTGGAACTGATTTTCTAATGAAGTAGCAAATTTTAGTTTTATTAGTTTTAAGTGCTTTGAAATAGGTTTTTTTATATAAAAAGGTAGCCCATTGCATTGTCCAGGTCACTTTTGACTGGTATTTCGGTTTGAAGTATTGGAATAAATGTCTAGTAATGATTAAAAAAAATAATAAAAATGGTACATAAGTAGTGTCTTCGAGTCTTACTAACACAACCTATTCAATCGATCGTATGATCGGTCTCAGTGTAACCTTAAAATTAACAACCCTGGATCGCGTAGTAAGTGGCATTGTTTGATCGAGTCGGTTAATAACATCAAGTATCGTCCCATGTAGTATTATTTAAGATTAGAGCGAATATTGTTAAATTAAAAAGTTCCTTTACACTCTTGGCAAAAGTGTAACTTTACCTTATGGGATTTATACTCATGGCTCGCTTTTTGTGTTGGGTATTTAGGTGCTAAAAAGCTAAACAAAGTTTACGTGTCGTTTAACGGACGAAACAAACTTCTAAGTGAAAACTACATTTGCATGATGGAGTCGTGGGCACATCAGGAGCTATTCTACAGCAACGGTACAACTGTCAGGCTGTTGCAACGAACGGCGACGGCGAGGGAGTCAGATGGGGACTGGTTGCTTCAGAGAAGATCGTTGCTCGGGAGCTGAATGATGACGGGAAAGTGGAACAGGGTATGCGTAACCGGGTCACTGAACGCATATCTACGGGTCGCTGAACTCCCTAAAGAGGGGCAAAGTTAGATCAACGACCTAGGTAAACCAGGTGTGAAGCAGGGCAAGAAAAATCGTAAGAAATAAAGCCCTGACAGCATCTGATGCCGTGGCAGGTTGATCCTATGTAACGATGAACAGTCGATAACAACAACGAGCAACCGTGTACAAGGAATTTACCACTGATGGCGATGGGTAAAAATATCATCACCTCTCGAACTGCTTGCGCTAAACGTACTAACGGTAAAACAACCATCACTTGCGGTCATTGCCACAACCAGCTCGCTTATTATGATGATCCGAACCACACCGATAATGACGACAGATCGAATCACATCAGCTCCTAGATAGCCAAAGAAAGACGTACATATATAGCTCACTTGCAGCTGTGCCCGTTGCGTTAAGTCCTCTGCCAACAAGCGAGCACAGATAGGCCAGGCCGACCGACCGACCGACCGACCGACAGACCGACCGACAGACCGACCGACAGACCGACCGACCGACCGACCGACCGACCGACCGACCGACCGACCGACCGTACAAGCACGTACTAATTTCACCCCTCTTCGCATCATCGCATTCAACGCCACAGTTACACATAGTGTCTATCTGTTTGTCGATAGACGACAACGTTAAAGATGCTGGCGGTGGTAATGACAAACTTTGTGTAAGAGATCCATTGAACCCACAGCAAGGGGCTGGTTGGACGATTGTGAAACTGTAAAAGCTCATGCTAATTTAGGACGATCGGTCGGTCGGTCGGTCGCATGACGTTACATGCATTTCATTTAGTATACACAAAGAGAGCTAATATGCAAAAAAGTATCTACGCTATTTGACGGCATTGACTTATGTGTGCAATTGACTGTGCACCATATACTGCGTGTACGCATCATAGGCGGCTTGTCACCAAACGGATTTTACTATGGTGAGGTATCATTATATTCTCTTCTATAAAGTCAACTAGAACGACTTCGATCCATCTTCGAGAGATGATCAAGCAACAGACCTGCTCGCGTTTCCATGAAGTCCAGGATTTTAATAAACACAAAAACCAGATGTTGATTCTGTTCAAGCTATACGCTTTAGTAGTAGAGAACGCAATTACAGGGCGTTACATTCTGTAATTTGGCTTTCTGCTAAAAAGTAGGAAAAGGCTATCGATTTGAGGGAATTATGAGTTTTTCCCCTGCTCACACTCAACAAAGCACCGCTTTCTAACTTTCAACCGATGCGCTTTAAATCACTTTCAGATGTGAGACATGATTGCTTCCCAGATGTGCAATCAGCTTCTCCGTTTTTGTCCGTGACATTATCATTAAAATAGTTCGCTATCGTTATATTAATATTTTATATATCTAGACTGTGCGAAGCTGATAGCGGGTTATTATTAATTATATATCATCCGACAACATTTTAGATTTTGTAAAGGAAATAAGCGAATAGCAATAGCCTTTTGTGCGGACGTCATATGACTTTACAAAACAATCTTTTTTTTTTCTTGAAGTAGAGGAACTTCCTTCTATTTGTATACTAGTGTTGCAGCCGTTAACTCAAGTCTCGGTAAATTACTTAATCCCCATAGTGGATGTTTTATGTATACGTTAAAATGTATGCATATATGCATGCTCCCATCCGCCTAGAGTTTCTAATTTCAACGAATAGAAAACGTAATCGTCTAGCGGGTGTATAAGATAAGAGGGAATATAAGACCAGATACTGGTATGGTCTGATGCTGCAGCACCGCTATGGACAACAGCCTGTTAGAAGACCAATACCTTGCGTAGATTCCTGGTCGTCGACACAAGCCACCAAATTACTACAGATGTTTTATTCGAAGGACGAATTTATTAACGGAAGTTGGCGACATCTGAACTGCATCTGCGGGGGAGGCAGGGGCCTGGTCAGAAAAGAAAATACAATAATCGTTGTTCTCTGAAATGCGTACAGCAGACCATCGTGGAGTCAGTTCATTTGTCACTGTTAGACCCATGGCAGGCGCTCACTGTGTTGACGCGTTGCTCTGCCTCCAAACCGCGTGGTCTAATTGAACGGGGGATGATACCCTTTTTGTTAGGATAGAAGTAAAGATCCTCAGATCGATTTCAGATAGATTTGCTTCTCAGTGATTGTTTTGTAATCTTTTTTTAAATAGTACTTTTTTTCGACACCAATTCAGATTGAAGATAATCAAGTTAGGTAAAACAATCAACTTTAGATAAAATAATGCGATCTCCAATTCTCAGAACAGCCTTGCATGTTGAAAGACGAAATTCGTAGATCCATTTTACTTGATGGAACCTACACTAAATATTATTCGTTCTACACACGCGTATAAAGTCTTATAAATCAACATAAAATGATTGTCTGTCGATATAAGTTAGTGATAAATATATTATTATACAGGCTGCACGATCGGGACATTCTTCATGATTGCTATTCCGAGTTTTCTTGAGCAAGGATAATTTCGAAAATTAACTCACTCAAATACGAACTCAGACGGACACACACTAACAGCGAACGGGACCCTTCTCCCTTTCAGTACTTAAGCTGGTTTATTCTGTGGAGGGACAAATGTCCATGGGGTGATTCCTAGAATAACACGCTCGCAACGCTATTAAAAATGAAGCATACGGTTTATTTGTTCCAGTATTTTGGGTATTGCGCATTTAGTTTTTCCTGCAGCTAGGCACATCAGTCAGAACTATATGAACTCCAGACATAGACTTTGAGAGGTGCTCTTCTGCTGATGATGGTGACCAAGCCTATTAGGTTGGCTTTGCAATTCCTGAAGCAGTTTAGAAAGAACCTTCTTACTGGACCTTCTTCATTTAAGTTAAAGAGAATCCAATATTTCAAATGTGCACACTTTCTCTTAATAGATAAATTAAAGGTACAAACATTATCAGTCAAGCTGAGCATACACACAGGGTTAGGAAGGAAGCTGAAGAGCAAAGTTCTATGCAGCAATAAGGACATCGATCCATGCATCACAGGCCGGCTTCGCAATGTACATGTCGATTGCTATATACACTGTGTACATGCACAGCACATTTTAGGTACCTGGTTTGTCACAACAAACCTAATAGAGGTTACACAAGGGGCAGTTCTAATTAATTACGTAATCTAGCTACGTAGTTATTGGCAGCAAATAAAAAAATCTCAATTTTTGGCAATACGTAGCTTAAAAAATGATCCCATACAATAGTACGCAGTCACGTCATCTCTACGCAACCTTAGAGGGCTTCAAGCCGGTACCTCGTACTAATGCCAGCTTATTAGTCATGCCAGTTATGCGCGGCAGTAATCCTCATCCGCTATGCATCCTGTGCAAGAACACCGATGTGACTAGAGGATAAGGAGTGGATTTGCATGTTTAATGCTGAAGTCACATCGCAATAGGTAAATGGGTAAAGTGCGAAAGCTTCACGCCCAATTACAGTTCTGGCAAAAAAAATTACGGTGTTTCATTCTAAAAGCAAGCCGATTTTTCCTTTAACAAAAAAAACGTTCGTTTTACACGGATTTTAACAGCGAGCTTGTTTCCCGCTGTATTCCTCGTCATCCTCTGTGATTTCTTGTCTTCCCTCAACCAACTTATTTTGTTTGGTCAGATGCTCAGCGGTTCTAGTGCTAAAAAAACTTTCTTGGTTCTTGGGAAGGCCTCTTTGTTGTTAGATGTCCTTTAATCAATTTCGCTTGCTGATAGTCGAAAAAAAGAGAAAAAATAGTGATCCGTCGACAGGATGTCTAGAGAAGGTAACCTTCCGTTTAAGCCCTCTTGGAATGGCTTCGATGATTTTTGCTTGTAGAGAAGGATGCATTTGCCTTGTCTAGCGCGCACCTTCTATACAACAGCTTCGTTTACCATGTTATAGGACACATACAGGGTCTTGTCAATTGTCTTGTTTTTTAAGAGGCGTTTCCAATATATAAGACACTTTATAACTCGCTAAACACAAATCATGGTCTTTTTCAGAAACCTAGTTTCACTGTAGGCTTACGTGTACATTCTGAAGTTATACATATCAATGCACTTGCATCTATTCAAGTTTTTCATCTTCTTTAGGTTTCAGCTACTGTTAAAGATGCAGGACGATTCAGGCACTCTATTTCTAGTGAAGGTATAGTATTTTGAAAGGTGCCATCGCCAACGTTGCGTCCAAGACAAGAAATCATCATTTAGGTTATTCTAGAATACTTAAGGGTTGTTTCAACCTCCGTATTTATTGTAACGTCTAAGCTTTAATTTTGAAAAGAAAATTTGTCGCTACCAGAAATTATTTTCTATCGGCAACAATAACTCTTTACTTACTAGTTTGCAAGAAAATGAAGATCTAAATGAAGAGAGGAAAACGATCTACCGATAAGCTTGTTTTCGACTCATTCGAGGGCTGGGAGGTGTGTATCATCCATAAAATGTAAACTGATTGATGAATTATCTGTAATTTTGATTTATGGCGAAAATGGTATTCAGGCAAGCTATGATATATAGGCAAGCTAGGCTCGGACCCGTATAACTAATGCTTGGTGATAACTTTGGGTAGCAATTTAATGCAATTAATTACCGTTTTCATAAGGTTCTAACGATGACCCACAAAAGGAACCCGGTGTAACAAATAAGTTGTTCTAGAAGAGCTCTACCTGCTTTTTGTTTGCTTTATAAAATTACGCAACTCATCGACTTCTACGTATACACGCGAACGGCTTTAAAGAAGCTCTCACTTAAGCGAAAATTGAGATTGGGCGATGGGCGAGCCGTAGCAAAGGCCGGCAATTTTGAATGTATCCTAAGCTGATAGTCGCGTAATCGTTTTAAACTACTGAATATTCTGTCAGAGTCTTAAATGTTTATACCTAAATAGTTAGTCGTTTGCTAAACCAGGGAAATGCAAGAATTCATTGAGCTATTGCTTTTCTTCACATGCGAGGCATCTCTAGACGAAAAATGACTTGAAGCTCCTTGAACCACTGCTGACTCTTGACTGCTGCTTCCTATACACTGAAATACCCTGGATCTGAGCCGTGAGATATTACTACGAGACACGGCCAGGCGAGGATTGACGGCACAACCGGGTCCTTTTCAGTCCTTTGCCGAAAGTATTAGCCTTCGATGTGTAGTACTCTATGTCACTTTTCTTTGCATCAGTTGTTGGCTATATGGTTTATTGCATAAATAAAAACTGATGCTCGTGCACCTTATGGGCGAAGAGACGTGAGAGGCGTGTTATTTGTTGCGATTCTTACAGACGCCGCTACTACAGCGTAATTGTTGTTTCAGACGTAAGAGTTCGTACTCATTGTACAAGGTTACGACTGCTACCACTGCCGTAACAGGTAGCAAACTAAAAAAATCTTTGTATGAAATGACGGTGACTTGGTTATAAGGAAGTCTAGCTGACAACCGATTGCTTATGGTAATCAGTATTGAACATTTTAGCGGAATCAAGTTTTAAATTGTTAACAGGTTTAACGCGGCTTGATCGAGCCATAAGATTTTTTCAGTTTAAAAAAAGCATTCGTGGATGTTGATGCTGTTACTGAAGATATTTACAGGTTAAGGATAGCTTTGTACAGTTGCTATGCGGCTGATCCTGATACAGACTTACTTATTACAGACCGGAACAATGGGACATTTACCATAATTGTTCTAGTATGTAATATCTATATCAGTGACTGGTTTATCGTGACGGTTCAAGTGTTAGAGATAGTGCTTTTAAGAAAGCTATTTTTGCCAATTTGCGAGTATCAAATGAATTCTTGTTCGAAGTAACATAACCCCTGAGAAAATTGGCTCTAAAAACAGAAGCCGTATTAGAGGAATATCTCTCGATTTTGTCCCAGCAAGGCTACATTCGCTCACTTACCATTAGTTTCTACCATTAGTTTCAAAACTTAATAAAATGTTCACCACTAATTAACAAATCACTTATATATTCTGATCACAAAGCGGCAAGGCATGCGTTTTTACAAATGTCATTAAACTCAAATCTGTGCCTTGTCAACTAGATAACTTTGTTATCGCCCGAGAATGAATTGTTGGTATAATCCCGATTCTGATGAAATAGCATGTTAAGCATTTTATACGCAACGGCTAGAATTGGGTTAGGATTGGGCATTGAGGTTGGGTAGGAAGTCGTTGATTGTATATACCTCGACTCTAGTAAAGCATGCTACAGGACTGATCACTCACACTTCTAAAGAAACCCAAGAAGTGTTTCTGGTTTGCATTCCCACACTCAATCTCCTTACCGATAACTTTTTTATAAAATTAAAGGTAGGATTCGCCTTTTTAAGATATCAAAGCAACCGTAATCACACATGCTTGCATCTGAAACATTAGGGAATAAAAACGATTGCTCGGTTTTGTCGTCTTCAATCCAAATCGTGATTGAGATGCGGCAATGAGCTTGTCATACAAGTAATCGCACGGCACGGGACGCTCCTATGATTCTCCTTAACAATTTCAAATATCTGGCATCATTGACTGTTCCATTTTAGCAAAGCACCTCGTAAGAACAAATTCCCCTGATGTTTATTGCAAGAATGTTTAACAAACTATTCCCGGATCTATTCGATACTTCCACGCAGTAGCTTTAACCTCTGTTCGACGACATTTCTGCTCTGGCGGAGGCATGGACTGCGCGATGCTTTTCTTGCGACCACGATATGCTCTAGACGGTTTTTTTTACCAGAGAAGTTATCCTCCTTTTTACGTTCATCGTTTTTATCAGAACGTTTTAACATGAATTTCGGCGAATCCCATATTACACCAAAAGGGAAGGCATTGCCCAGGTTTCATTTTGCTAAAAAGCTTCTGTAATGACAGCAACTAGGTTTTTCACTTGATGTCCTAGGATGTTAACCCATCCTTTATACCTTTGAATTGGCCAATTTTCGTTTTAAAAATGATTATATTAATAATAAAATATTGTAGCCCTAAAGGTCTCTTTCCTCAGCGTTTCTGGCAATCCTTAACAGATTCCACTAACACTCTCCGCTTTCATTGAGCGTTGATCTTCGTCACTGAAATACAGCCTTGCCTCTAAACTCATAATTCTGTACTGATACTTAATCAGCTTACAATCGGAAATAGCCAAAGACTCAATGTAAATATTTAGCAAGTCTTGTTTGTTAAGGATCTGTTGTTTAGAAGTTATTCAAATTTTTTTTGTCTCGGTGAACAGTTCCGAAAGAACTAGTAGTTAAAATGAGCTTATGCGGGAAACAACTTTCGCTCTTCGACTAACAGAAGCTGGCATCGTTTTTTTAGCGAATTATACACCGGCAGGTGTATAATTCGATAGGTCTCATTTTCTCCAAAAAGTAAAATATTACAACGAAATGCTTTAAAATTATGCCCGATCCCGTAATCTTTTACTTTTGAGCACGACTGCGCAACTGAATATTACTACGTCATAGAAGAATTACCCACTGCGCATTTTGTCTGTCAGCGCGGGCCGCCGCATAAAGGGATTTACGAAATCTAGTCACAATATTTTCATACGCTTTGAGCATTCACTTTTTAGTTGGGAATAGTGAAGTCCCTGTGTACCGTATCAATAAGCGGTACCTCATTACGATGTCAACACAGGCGGGCTGACTTCGGCTTGACTGACATTATATAATTGCATAAAATCTGATAGGCTGTTTAGTTTCTCGAATTGTCGGCGTTGCTCAACACTCCACATCGATAGGAAGTCGTTGCTGGTGAGCCGTATTGGGAATTTTCGAACTTAAACCTCGAGTTCACTTACCGCTAAGGCATTCGGCTTCAAAGGGTCGCAGGTGAAAACGCTAGACGTAATCAGCACGTGACTAAGCCCTTCGCTTATCGAGAACCTCATCGATCATTGTTGGAAAATCCTTAGATGATTTCATGTCACCAGACGGAAAATTATTGAAGTGAATATAAGTTTTTTTACTATTTTGGAATTCACGTGATGCTGGCGTTCCTATCTAACGAAACATCCTTAGCTTCAAGGACAATTGAGAACCGATTCGGATGTAGAAAATGCGCTGCTAATACAAGTACAACTACCTCACCTTCCATCTCGGAACTTCACATTCGATTCAACAATATTTGCTCTGTTACGCTACATGAGAATAACTTATACAGTCGTATTGTTATCCGAGGCGGAACTGCAGAAGCTGGTAGGCTTAGTAACACGAGTTAGAATGGCGGATACGAACGCGGTCGTGAAATCGAAAAGATCGCGAACAAAGCACCTGTATGCAGTTGCTTATTTCCAACACTTTCGTTTCTCTTTTGTTGATGAAGACAATTTAGGTTGGCTGTCTTCATTTCCCAGCATATGTATACACTTCTTAGCTTAATAGTAGTGTACTCGGCTAGTTGTTTTGGTTTATGATTTCGTGAATTACCTACATTACTTGGTTGAGCTTTCCGCTTTTTACATCAGCAATCAATTATACAGAGCTTTATATCGACTTGGCACTTTTAAGGTATCGCCTCTTTCCTTTGAAATTTTGGGACAATGCAAACCTTAGGTAAAAGGCTAAACAGTCAGCCGTCACATCAAATACGAACGAGCGGTTCGCCTCGGGCAATCTTACAATTCAACTCCTTTCGTAGAATTGTCGTTCGTAGAAATAGCTTACGCTTATTGAATCGCTCTCTAAATATAGTTTAACCCTTAACGATTCCTGACGAGTAATTATCATGGATAAACATATATTCGCTCACAGAGTCCTTATGCATGGCCAGATCTTACAAGGAAGATCTTGTACTGGAATTCCTCTTATAAGATTTTAATTATTACTTCTTTTTATAACAAAGGAATAAAAACTTCTGTCGATACATAAAGGCCCGTAGCTCAAGGAACCAAATACATGCTTATTTCAAAACAACAGAGTAAACGACTAAAACTTGTGTGCTTCATTATACGATGACAATGATTCTGCTTTTCTTTAAAATAAATGCTGTAGAGATGCGATGCGTTGCAAGCGACCTGGCCACCTCAATTAAGACGGTTCTCATTGTCTGTGACTGTGAACAACTCTGTGGCTTAACGTCGATGTTTTTTTGTATTTTACATCACACGGCAGACATCTAGCATGCCTACGCAGGCAAGTACGCGGCTGCCATCCATTGTCAGCGATGTAAAGGGTCTTGGCATACAGATTTACTTGGAACTATATTTTATGTTGCTCATAATTGGTTCAATGGTTTAAATGCTTTGCTATTAACGCTGTTGAATTTTATATTAGTCTATGCAAAGGCGTGTAGCCACTAAATGTATTCAATAATATGAGGTAGCTATCTAAACTAGAAAAACATGTGAATGCTATTGGAAGCACGAAAAGGCGGGTCATTCGAAAAGTTGAGTTCAGTTGTCAAGTTGACGAAGCGATGCAATTTATCCCTTGAACTCATATCTGAATTGTACTATGCGTTGCATATGATTCTGGAGACCTGCTTGAAGAAGCGCCTAGAGCTTTTGCCGAGGATCGAGAGCTTCCTTCTGACAGCCGGTGCGGTTTTAGGAAACACAAGGCTAGCGCAGTCGGCAATTGATAGGGTTTTTTAGGCCGGGTGAAAAGTCACGCAACTTCAAGATATCTATCCTTCACGATCCTGTTGAATGTGGAAAACGCTCACGTGCTTGAAGGTGGGCTAGATTCCTTAATACTTCGTTCTTTCGATCCTAGACGACCTGCAGGGCAGATCCGTGGTCAGCGGGTGGGCCGGTTTTTCATGTCGGCTGAAGTTGCTCAAAGGTCAGTTTTGAGTTCTTTGCTGCAGATCATAGCGTACGACGAAGTCTTGCTGCTGAAAAACTTCTGCTCCAAAATCGAAACGATTACTAGCACAGATGATCTTGAGCTCACTGATGGGCAAAACCGACCGCGAAGCTCCAGCAGAGCGCAAAGACAATGTTGGTGAAAGGTCATCCTACTCATTGAGATGAAGAAATGCTCGCCTCTTACGCCTTCACGCTCAACGAGGAAAGAATCAGGTTCGTGGAAACAGCGATAATGCTAGACGAGACTACTCGCTGGGATCTGAAGACTAACGAAAAATGCATACCTGAATTCGCACCGAATACAGCTGTAAGGAACATTATTCTTGATATTAAAATGAAGATAATGCGGCTTGGTCAGAAGCTTACATGTGACTTTGCACCGTGCACTTACTAGGCACGGAGCATTCCAAAACTACCTTTGGGGATCGACCAGGCCCTTTCGGATAACCGTATTTTGTGCACAGTGAGCTTTGAAGCTACGGCTTAGCACACGCTGGCAGTACACAAGGGGGCTGCTCATACCTAAGAGCGACAAGCGACACGAAATGTGACACTATCTATCTCCTTACAATGGTACAGCAAATTTGGTAATCTGCCTCGCATGATCGCGCGACACCTGGGGCCACAGCCAGCCAAGGGGCAGAGGGCTCTAAAGCGAGCGGTATTACGGGGAAGGGAACTTTTTTTTAGATTGTGGCTAACCCTTAAGGAGGACAGGCTAGGAAGGGGAACGAAATGTTACTTTCGTATACTGTAGTGCTGTCAAGTTAAGAGCTGGGGCGTTAAAATAAAATCGAAATGAATAAGGATTTACCTAGATTTGGAGATATTGAACGATAATGGCCTCGACGGAAATGAACCGTAGCGGGCACCTGAATAGCTTGTCCTTTTGGTGCAGCAAGTTTCACGTGTTCTTTTGCATTTAATTGCAATCAAGTCGAAATAATTTTTATTGCGCTAAAAGAGACAGATTGTTTATATGTTTACGACATTTCAAGAGCGTAAACAATGGTAAATATGTATAGCAGATACAAATATTCACCGTGTTATAGTTATCATACAAGTAGTGCTCTGCTTGATTTGTCTCTGAAGTTGTTTATATACAACTCTCCATGAACGGGTGTCATTTAGTTCCTCAGTTCGAACCATTTTTAACGCTATTATCGCTCTACACTACGGTATTTCATCTCTCGGACGCTGAGGAGCTATGATATATATCGTTCGGATCGTTGTAACTTATCAAACACGTAAAAGCGTGTCTGAAAATGCAACTCAGATCAAAGCTGAAGTAAACAAACCGATTCTACGCTCGTTCAGTAGTGTTAATGTATTTGCCTATATATAGAGTT